CTGAATGGAAGGGACGTAAAGGTTTTACACAAGCAGCGGGAGCATCAACCCTATCATCTTTTGGTTTCGGTGCTGGTCGTCATCGCTCCCTTCGGTGCAGCAGAACTATGAAGCACGAGTCCTGATACCGTTGGCGGTTGTGGGGACAGCAAGAACAGCAAATGTGCTTTGCCACAGAGTTGCCGCCTGTGCGACCTTGCTTGTGTGAATGTAAACGCCCGGATCATCTGGTGGTGCTAGCGGTGGTGGCGGTTGTGGTCACGGTGGTAGTAGTCGTGGTAGTGGTAGTGGTAGTGGTAGTGGTAGTGGTAGTGGTAGCAGCAGCAGCAGCAGCAGGAGTAGAAATAGTCGTCGTCGTAGTAGTAGTAGTAGTAGTTGGTAGGGGGGTGGCTAGTTAGTAGTACCATTAGTGCCAGTAGTAGGAGGAGCCCAACAACTTCGCAGCCGCAACCCCTACGACTGACTACAACAACACTGCCAGGCGCAGTGGTGGCATCGTCATCTTTACCATCATCACCGGCATCGATCTGAGAGAGTTGCAAGCATGTCTGGCTCTTGGACGAGAGTCTGGTCCGCTGCGTAGTCCTCGTCCAACTTGGCCTTGGTTGCCTGTGCTTCGCCGCACGACTCACCAAACAGTTTAGGGTTTAGGGTTGGGGAGAGGTTGCAAATACTGCAATCAAATAATCATCGATGTCACCTCCCTCGGAAAACTGTTGCCGGGCCTCCTTCTCCGCCTTTTGGCTCAGGGTCGAGCTCCTCCACTTCTGAAGGTTGGAGACTCTACATTATCATTCCAGGAGAGCCCCTGTTGCTTGCTCTCCAGCGCCCCAACCCCATCCACCCCCGGGCTCTTGAAGGTGCCCTTCTTTTCCGTGGCCTTGTTGGAGACATCCTGACAAGGATCTGGCGTCTTGAAGGAGCAAGCTCTACATCGGAGAAATGAAGAACATACGACTCCAACATCCTGCAATGCTAGCAACAGCATTTCTTTAAGACCTGCGCATTCTGAAGATCCCTGCCAGCAAGAGAATAACAAATCAAGATGCAATCCCATTGTTCAGGCTCGTCAGCAGAAGGCTGTAGCCTGGAGCTGGTATGTGAGATCGACTGAGCCCGCGTGTCTGAGAACAGGTGTGCTGCCGTGGTCACGCTGCATGGGAACTGCACCGTCCAAGGCTTCAATAAATCTGAGCTGCTGTTCTTCTTCTTGGTCTCGGCCATCTCAGCCTCGGCCGTCTGGTTGACGAACTTGGCTTGAAGCATCTTCAGCATCTCGATGACGTTCCCGGACTGGAACCTGCAGAGCATTGCCGGCTGTCATACTGCAGTATTGGAGCTGCGACAAACTCAAGACCTTTAGGGGCTCGTCTGAGACTTCAGAACGCATTCCGGCTCGATTGTGGATTCGGTTCTCTGAGGCCGGGTCTCATACGCATCTGCCTTGGGAGCGGTTGGCTTCTCCATGGAGAACACCTCGCACATCGGGCCAAGCGGGGAAGGAGGACTGAAGCAAAGTGCTACTTCTAGCTTTGTGAAAAGCGGTTTTGCCTAGGCTGTTCCATTTTCTCACGTTTTATCAGTCTTGCGATGTCAGCCCCGCCGCAGGTGTTGCTCGCATCACGGCAAGTGCAACAACAATACTCATAACAACAACAACAACAACAGCAGCAGCAGCAGCTGCTGCTGCACAAGCGGTACGGCATCTGATAGGGGCAAAATGGCAGTCGTAGGTGATCAGCTTAGCAAGGGCAAGCAGTGCAGCAAAAATAGAAGAACATCAAACCACAACACTCGCACCATCTCTCTTTCTCTCCCACATATGGCGAGCACTGCCGCTCTTAGCTTGTATTCTTCTTCCGTCTGGCTGTCTGGGCCCAAGATGGCCCAAGCCACGTTCGAAACATGAACAAATCTGTCCCAAACTCCAAACCTGCTTTGGCCGGCCTTGGACAAGCTGTCCAAGTCCTCTTCGGAGAGGTGGGCGAGCTCTGCCGCGCGGTGCACCTTCCCGGGCTAACCAGTCTGCCAGACTTCAGTGCTGTCGCAGCTGTTTCGCAACCCGGCAATTTCCATGATACCCTTCAGATCTCATTCTGGCACCTCAGTGCGTGTCGTCTACTGAGTATGGATTGACCGTAACACGGTGCTGTCGCTTTACAAGTAGCGGCAGTAGTGTCACCAAGCCGCACTTTGGCAGTGGCAGCGACCAAAAAACAGGAACATGCAAACCCGCTTCGTAGTCTCTCGGAGCTTGGCTTTTAGGCCTGGTCTCTACGTGGTAGGAAAAACAGCTTCAGAAAACGCAAGTTTCACGTGCGGCGTGAACAGCCAAACGATGCATGTTTTGGCAACGCTTTGCTATGACGGTGGCGGGGTCAAACCGCATGGTGCTAAGCCCTGTATGTCCAGGTCCAGGCTAGTCTTGGAAATCTGGACGTCACCGTCTTGCACATTCAGTTTACGCCGAGACGAGGTAGAGTTAGAGCAAGCCGCCAGTGAATACTATTATTGACAAGCTGTGACTTATTATGCGTGACTGCGCCTGTTTCCGAACATGATCTCCCTGTCCCATGGGCTATGCAAGAGAGCTTGAACCCCCTGTGCCTGAACCAAGACCTGCTCCCGGTCATAGTCCTGCACGTCGCTTAGGCTTCTTTGCTTTTTGCGACAGCCCATGCGCAAATTCGGAAACTCTTCAGCAGTGTCTGGCCTGCTCCTGCAAGGTCTTCAGGGCAGCATCAATTGCCTGTACATACTGCGACAACGCCCAACAAGGACAGGCTCAGATTCGATCGCAACAATAAGAAAACACAAATCAGAATGAACGCGATCCTTGCAGTATTCACGCTATAAGAACGACTTTTCATGCTCATCGAAGCTCCTTTGATAATCGTAGCGCTACGAGTAGCATCTTTTGTGTGAGCTGCCGTCACGGACTCTCCCAGGTCGGTCTTCAAGGCATCGTAGTCGGCTGCTTCAGCCTCACGGACCTGATCCCACCAAGCTTCTCGTGGATGCTACAAGTACTACAGTAGCAGCAGCACTAGACTAGCTTCTCCAACCTTCCGATGAGGCTTAGCAGTTTAAACACCGTCCCTTGCCAAGACGAAGCAGGCACTTTGATATTTGAGTCGTGGCGCTTCCGCAGCATTGGCCTTGCTCTTCTCCAGCTTGGCAGTATGGGCCTGCGCTCGGACGACAGGGTTTCGATCAATGCACAGACCAAGCTCCTGGCAGACTCTGATGTCACGGAGCTTAGTATTTTTCAACTTGGAAGCGAAGCCTTTAAGGCTCCTCGGTATGCCGGTACGACACCAGGGTCGTCAAGTCGGTTCAGGCTTCAGGGCTTTGGCTTTAGGATGCTTTAGTTTAGGTTGCGTCGCTGGACTCTCGACCCCACGGGAACGGGAGGCACGAATCGTGGTGGTAGCTAAACAGTCGTCAGCCGCCGCTCCAGCAGCAGCAGCAGCAGCAGCAGCAGCAGCAGCAGCAACTCCTATTGCTCCTCCTCGTTACATTCACCATCATCGTTGCCTTCTCCCTTCACCATCATTACCATCATTACCGTCCCCCTTCTCGTCTTCTCTTCATTTTCCTAGAGCAGTCACAGTGATGGCTGCAGGTAGTCGTTAGCGAGTTCTCTGAACTCTGCCAGTGGAAGGCCAACACCACGGCAAACGCAGACATGAGGAAAAGCCTGAGGTAAAGCTAAACTGGAAGGATTCAAAACGACAGTTTGGCCCAAAGGATGGCTTTTCGACCCGTCCGAGGATGCCTCGTGGCCGGCAATCTCCTCCGAGAGCCGAGAGGCCTGGACCAGTCTCTCGGCCGGTCTACGTGCACATCTGCCGGCATGAATGATATGCAGGTGCACTCAAGACCAGAACTTCGCAACAGTCTGTGCTTTTGTTGTCGTAGCCGTGTGCTTCGAGTAGTTCTTCTTCATGACTGCAAAGTCTTGCTGGAATGGCATGTTCGAAGGCATAGATGCATGTTGCCTGGTTGAAGACAATCCATACATACAGCCTTTCGGATTCTGCACCTCCGCATCTAAGCTGTCAATGTCCGCGCTGGTCAATTCGATTTTGTTGGAAAGCTCCTGCACGAGAGGCTCGGAGAACGTTTCGGAAAATTTTTCTCCCACACGTTGGCAGGACAAATGTCTGCCGCGCAGCTTTTCACATGCATGTTTCGTGATAGTTGAGCTTCCTTGAGATCGGCTCTTTTGTAGCCCAGCTCGCTTGTGCAGAACCTCAACACGACGTCGCCAGCCACCAGAACTGTCAGTATGTGTGAACTGAACCACATGTGGGAAAGCAGCAGGCAATGTTGTAAAGGTTAAGGATGATTGAGGCGCCGACTGCTCGAACTTTGCGAACTGTATTTTCTCGTCCTGCATTTCCTGTTGTTCGTGATCTCGGAAAACCCTCATTGGAAAGGTAAGAAAGCACAACATGGTCTGAAGAAGAAATCGAGCCTTGGATTTGGTGGCTTTCATACCTTGGGAGCACAGAAACCTCACCAGCTCATGAACCGGGCTTGCATCCGCAATTAAGTCCCAATACTCTCGAGCGCTGCGAGGACCTGCAAGAGGAATGAGCTACAGCTGTCCATGAATGGACTCGGCTGATGCACCTCTTAGTATTGGAAAAGCAGTCAGACATGTCCGTGCAGGTGTCGCTGTTGAGCCATGCCTTCTGGACGGGTGTGGCCGAGCCATTGGCGCTGACGACAAGGCCCAACGCCAAAGCCTCGGCCCAACAAACATCAATTGGAGCTATTCCGAAAGGCTCGCCAGGCTTCGCACTCGCACCCACTGCATTCTGCACGGCATCGCCGCGATGCCCGCAACTCTACGTTGAAGCCGAAACGGCTGCAAGAAGCATGCGGTCGCGGCTGTACGAGACTACAGTTGAATTTTCAGTTCAGTGTAGAAGAGACGCGCATGGGACATCTGAAGCTCTATTATGCCGCCCCCTGCTGGAGCCATCATGGGCCTCTTCGGCTCCCGACATGGCCAAACCCGTCCAGGCGGTGATTTGCTCCTGTCTGCTCCCGTAGTACTTTCTGCCAAAATTGCACTTATTGGAGACGAAAAGTGTGCAGCTGCCGATTTCTCCTGCTGCCGCTCCGAGAAGTACTGCCTTGCTGAATCCAAAGCTTCTGCAAAGTCGGTGGCGACGTCCTTCCGAACAGCGGCTGATAATGGCTTCTACCCCACGAGACGTTTCGGACGTTCTCAAGCCCGCCTGTGTGGCTTCGGCGAGTGTGTCCCGAAACTTTCTCGTGCCCATGGCCTTGTAAATCTGCGAGCCTCATATCGCAGACCGTGAGCACCACCAGAGTCATGAACGGGGGAAGAACTCGTGAGGCTTTGTACTTTGCACAGTTACTCTTCGTTTCGTTTACTTACGTGCCTGCTGCAGCACGTCAGCTTTGACATAGAGGTATACTGGATAGCAGACGCCTGTAACATATAATCAGCCATGTACACGATGATGTACATGAGGCGCACTGCATCCCCAGGACAGAGAGCATGCGCTTCAAGCATCGACTGAATGATCGTATGCGACCTGAACATAGACATGTGATTTGCATCTAGAAGGACCAGCCAGGGACAGAGCTACAGCTGCAGCAGAAGCAAGCACACATACACACAAGGAAGTAAAGACACAACTCGCACACACAGGAATGGAGCTGTTTTGCAACCTGCAATCGACTGAGAAAGATCCCGGAACGCCAGCCAGCGGAAGGGCACTGTCTTGCCGAATCCGTCTTCCCTTCGGCTGTTGTGCTTGCTAAAGACCTTGCTCACGACAGTCTAAGTGCCGAGAGTCTGCTCTCTGGGGCACCTGCTCGTAGTTTCAAGCTTGCTCCTCCAACATTTACGGGGTAGAACAGCAGCTGAACAACTGCAGCTCCAAAGTGTTCCGCGCAGGTCGCCCTTTGAATCGATCCGCCTTGCCTGTGCACTTGGCCGAGCTTGCGCAGCGCTTTGCTGACCGTCTCCACGTTGATCCCGCTCGCCTCTTCCGAACGTGCAAGACTTCTGGTGAAAATGTCATTGCGAGACAAAGGTCACAGGTAGGACATCTTCTCGCAGAGCCAGGATACCCCTTCCTTCGTGTAGGTGGGCTCACTAGCGGAAACACCCTCTGCGGCGCCTGCGCCGTCTTGCCCGGAGCAGGTGGCCGCCCCGCAGCTTTTCCAGCGCGGGCTGGCGAACCTGGACCGTTTTCCGAACCCGAACATCCAAAGCTGGTCACATCAAGCGTTCTCGACCGACTACAGGCTTCCGGTCCTCGGGGCTCGTTCAGCACGGAGAGATCGAAAAGACCTGTGCCTCAGCATAGAAATGCTCTACACATTTCGCACTGGTGTTCAGGACCGCTGCAGTTTCTGAGGCTTTGCCAACAGTATCGAGTTTGCCAAAGGCTCAGCTAGCTTCGGCACTCAAGCCTCGCAGTCCTGGGGTCTCGTGTTGGGATTCGCAGCATGCCAAATGATATGAGACAGACAGTGTCTGCAACGCAGCAAGCAATGCAAATACCTCCGCATCGGGAGCATCTCTGGGATAGCCCAGGGTGTAAATTAAATCCTCTGGTTGAATCTATCGCCCCTTTGTCACCCTGAGTGGGTATTTTACCAGCCATCGCAGAATGGGGTGGTGCCATCTCGGGAGAGGCCACCCTTTGGCTTTCAATGCTGTGTGTGTGTGTGTGTTTAGGCGGACGGCAAACACGGCTCAGGACCCTCACGTGCTTTCTGACAGAGGGCTGGGCCATCTGAAGCTGCGTGGCAGCTTAACGACTCGACTCTGGACTGTGGCCCAGGCCGTCACTGGAAGTTTCCACGCGCACGCCTTCACCGAAGGGCGCTGCCACCACCTGAAGTACATCCAGTGGCCACAAGACGGAAAAGGCTTGCAAGCTCCTTCCGTGATGTCCTACTACCTCCGGCTAACACATGCTCACGCCTTGCCCTGCCAACGACATGAAAGCTGTGGCACCCCGGCCATCTCCTCCTGGTACCGCAGGCGCAGCTGCTTCAGAAACTCCTCTGACTCTCTAAATGTCTAAAGACAGCAGATGTTGCTCGTGATGTCAGGTCGCAGAAGCAATTCCATCATCTGTGGTCTGTGTGGTCAGCTTCTCTCGTTTCGTCTCGAAAGCTTGCTTGCAGAAGCACGGGAACAGACTTGGAGGCGTCTTAAAGGGTGCCAGTAAGCCTTGGTTTCGCTATTGGGCAGTCGTCAGCAGCCGCGCAGCGAGCTCCAATCCGACACGCGAAACATCAAAACCTCGAGCCATTTCATGCCAAGAACCTTGACTGCATGTTCTTCCAGCGATGACCACCTGTACAGCTTGCGCTGTGTAGCCTGTGCCCTTGCCATGTAATGTCGGGTATCACTAGGGACCAAGAGGAACTTGAATCTTCAGTTCGGGTCGAGCTGCCAAATTGAACAACCTGCAGTCAATCCCGTTCGGACCTTTCACTGCCTCGCTCTTGCATCGCGCCTGGAACAGAAGTTGCGCCTCTGTTTCATCCATGGCCTGGCAAATGACAATGACTTCCGCACGGGAACTTGATAGCAAGTTTCGGCAAATCCCAGAGACGTGCAATTGCAAAGAACGGCATCTCGCATCATGGCCTCGCTCTGGGACGGCTGCGGCCCAGGAAACGTGGCATCTGGAAGCGGAGCAAAATGCAGTCCCAAATTCCAAGAAGCTGCGTCCCCGAACACTGAGGACACTGCGAAGTGACTGCTGGAGCACGACGAGCACCTTCCCAACAATCCAGCAAGCACCACAAAACGGATCAGGTTCTGGCTTGCTTGTGCCCCGCCTCGTAGCCGCAGTCCACGATGTTACTTGGCTTTGGCCTGCCGAGCTACCGGGTACTGACTTGGCCCGGAGGGGAGGATAAGCGCATCCAGCCCGCCTCTCAGCTTTCTCAAGACACTAACTACAAGTTGGTACAGTAATACATTGTTGTACTAGTCGAGACGGCATGTGACAATTGACGTGCATAGCCTTGATGTGGGCATTAGTAGCGTCATATTCATCCAGGCTCTCGCCTTGACATGTCTCTTGGAATCGTACATCTGCTACATGCATACACACATACGTGCGTACGTACGTACATACATGCTATCTATGGTTAATCGCACGTGCTGCTTTACGTTTGCGCTTGCTTGTTTTGCGCATTCGTGCCTCTCTCCCTCTGTTCTCGCATCTGTGCAGCGCAGGCGGCGCTGCCGGTGTGCGAGATGACTGCTTGCCAGATGGCGAAAAAGCTGGCCCCGAATCACAAACTTGAATTGGGGCTCGGACGGATCTGCATTGCTGTCGCCGTCACCGCCTGGATTGTTGGGCGCAGCAGGTCTCTTCCGGGTCCGGGAGATACTTGCATGCGGTGCTGGGGTAGGGCACATAAGCCTGCTCTACAATTCTGGATTCTAGAGATTGAAGATGCTTGTGGAACAGCGAAGCTCTACTTGGGTGCATCCGGCATGCCTATCCATCAGTTCCACCCGAGTCAGGCGACTCTAAACAAATCTGCTGTTACATACTTCTTATCCGTACAGGCTGACAACGTGCATGCTCGTGTGACTGCTGATGCGCGGCCCAATTTTCAAAGGCATGGGCTACCCTCAAAGCTTTCCAGTGGCCCAAGCCCTAGCGACTCTCGACAAGCTGAGCTGGAGGATCTCTTGCAGGCAGTACAAGGACAAACATGTACAAGAAACCTGAGACTGAAATGAAGGCGCAGCTCTTGGATATGCTCACCGTCCACGACTATGTATGCCTGTCTTGCACCCAAATAACTTCAACCAATCACCGCTGGAATGGTTCTACAATTGAGCCTGGACCTAGCACTCTCGCACGCACCCTGGATGAGAGCTGCAATTGCAGCGCGGCACCAAGCCCAAACCCTTCATTCGACCGATCTATGGCAAGGGTAGTGCGCCGGCAAAACTGCCCAGGCGTGGAGATGTCGAATGTGGAGCTCTGGAGACTTCCCCTGTACAGCGACCAGGACTCAAGGCCCCGGCCTACTGGCGACACATCCGGCCAGAGCTTCACCTTCGTGACCTGTGCAAGTAAGTCTGCCGACGACATGCAGAAGCTTTGTGCTAGAAGGAGAGGACCCAGTTCTACATTCCCAATGGGGAGGCTCCGACCTTCGCAGCCAGGGTCTTCAGCTCCTCGCCAATGTCTCCGTCCCTGACTCTGAGATGCTAACAACAGAAAACTTCCGTCTGCACCCAACACTGTCGGGAAGTGGGGATGCAGCAATTGCAAAGCGCGAGTCAACTGCAAAGCTACCCCTGTTGCTGCCTGAAACCAACGTATAGCACAAGTCCAACGCCAATCCGGTTGACGACCAAGCCATTCACCTGCCCGTGCACTTGAGGCCACTTAGGATGCTCTTCTCACCCTCACCCCGCAGATTTGCCTGAACTGCGGCATTTCTTACTTTCAGCCTTAGCCCAGTGAGGAACTCATGGTTGGGCGCACACTGGCGAAGCTTCGCTGCACTGAGCTGCGGACAACAGGAGTTTCATGGCCGGAGCATGGTTTTGAATGCACGGCTGATCCGTGTGGTCTTACGGTCTTACAGATCACTCCAAGCACTGATTGTGACAAGTTGCGCTGGGGTTGGATTCCCGGATGTCATGTTTGACTGCGTGTGATCCGGCCCATGGGCGTGTTTGCAGGCTGCAATCGTGGGACTCTTTGACTCTTTGCTTCCTGCAACTACGGCCTCGAAGCCTCGTGATGCCGAATTGAATAACACGTCACATTGCTGCCGGGGTAAGTTGCTTCGACGTCGACAAGCGGCATGTACAAGCACTCGGACAAGGTGACGACGGAAACCTATTATACTGGAAGACATGACATCCTGACTTCTCCTCCCCAAGCAGCCAAGTACGGCCCCATTTTGCATGTGCTGGGCAGAGGATCCATACAGCACTCTGGCCCAGAGTGCAGCTCCAGCGGAGCTCGAATCCTGCATGCTGCACGTCCTGATCCGGCACGAGCTCCGGGCAAATCAAGGCAATGACAGCCTCGGGAAACTCACGCATCACGTTGTGGATGATCTGCAGCGAGGTGTCAGAACCAGAGCCGATGCGCCAACCCCATGGTGGGTTAGCAACCACAACATCCGGTTCTTCAACCAAGTCTGCAAAGCTGGTCGTCGCATCGTGAATCAGCACTCGGATCTCTGTTCCAAGGCTGCACGATCTGAAGTTCTCCTGCGCACGCTCGGCAAAGTCAGAGTTTATGTCGCTGGCAATGACAGTGGCAAACCTGCCCGAGGCTGCAGCAACAGCAGCTAGCGTACCACTTCCACAGCAAGCATCCAACAGGGAAAGCGCAGCTCTGGATCCCTCGCTCTTCTCGCACTCCAGCAAAGCGATGGAGATGACTGCGCTGGCCACCCAAGAATCAAGCCCTGCGGAAAACTTGAAGTTCCGACCAGACCACATCTGGTGCCACGATGGTGGTAGGCAGCGGCCATTCGCCATTGCAACCTCCTGGCCGACCAGATACGAAGCGCTGCCGGCCTGGAAAGCCACCAGCTGGACATGCCCTGCCGCCAACGACTGTCGTCGAAGCTTCCTGGCTAAGTCAGATCCGGTGGCCGCAACTACGTCCAATGCCATGTCCGCTCCCTGGCAGGTCTTCAAGGGCAGAAGCGAGGCATCGACTGGAGGTTCACGGAGCAGGACCTCCAACCACCAAGTACTGCATCCCTGCAAGGCCGGGAACTCGCCAACAGCTGCGGCAAGCTCCGCTGCGCTTGCGAATGCTGCATGCTTGCAAAGCCTGACCGGCGGCCTTCGAAGTGCGGTCAGGCTGCCTGCAGCACTCAGGAAGGACTGCTCGAGAGAGCCCTCTCTTGTGGCAAGCACCACCAAGCCGGGTGCAACTTCCCTCCAGCATGATGGCTGAATTCCAGCATGCAGTGCTGCAACCTCGAATTCCAGAGCCATGAGTGCCGCTTCCTTGCTTCGGGAGCCCTGGGCTCGGAGGAAAAGGACCCAAATCTCGTCGGTGCCGAAGCGCTTTAAGGTCTCCGTCAGCTGGCTTGTTGACCTGTGCATCTCTGCCATGGCACGTCGCCATGTCCGCCGCCCTTCACCAACCGAGGTTGCAGGTGGCGGTCGTGGCTGGGGTGAAGCCTGCGCCTGGAAATTTTCGTGTGCGAAAGACTCTTTCGCAGCTTCCGAAGTCCGTCGTACCAGGCCCTGCATGAGCCGGGCAGCCGGCTCCTCAGCCTCTGCGGGCTCATAGATGAAGTCTGTGCCTTGAAGCACGAAAGCGACGAGGCGGTTTGCCATGCACTGCTTTCTTACAGCCTTGGCCGTATGTGAAGTGGCCGTGGCTGCAGATGTCTGTACCAAGAAAGCGCCGAGCTGGGGCACGACGGAAACAGCATCCTGTTCGTACTGCGGGAAGAAGCCTTCGTGCAGGACACCGACTTGTCATCACGGGCCACATGCATTAACGGGATATGCCGCAGCCATGATAGCACGAAAACAAAAACCACTAAACAACTCAAGGACGCGAATGTGCCGGAGCAGCTCCTTTTCCAGGGCGATGGTCAGCCATGCTACAGGCACGGCACCACCTTGAGAGCCACTGGGGTGTCGCTGGAAGCGAGAGACCAAGGCAGAAAGCAAGAATTTGGAGTCTTCCGGGGATTCTTGTCGACTGTCCGCATAGCTTTCGAGTGGGACGAAGGAGCAAAACCCTGATTGTTGCAATCGTACCACTGGCTCGCCAGAGCTGGCTGCCTGCTCGTCCAAAGATTCCAAATTCTCCAAGAACAAGCCATACGGCCGTGCAGCCGAACACAGTCGAAGAAGGCTAGCATCCGACACGTTGCTCTTCCAGCCCTTCCAGATCTGCGAATAGCGCCTTCGAAGCTCATCGCCGGCAATGGACACCGGCAGCTCCCCTCCATGAAGCAGAAGCACCTGGCACAAAGCCTGCAAAAGTCGTTTCTCCAGTTCAGAGCGGCCTCCTGTTCTTTCACCTTCCTCGGAGCTCAAAAGCAAAGAACTGTGGTCCATGGCAGCGGGAAGTGTTTGCCCAGCCGCCTTGCATTTTGCGGCTCTGAGCCCTGAGCCGTCTCACTCAGCAGGGCAATCGGCATGTGTGAGCTGCGGCGGCTGAAGCTACATCCCGCTGCTAGCAACGCCAGTCTCAACTCACAGCGAAACCATCCGGCTAAAGTCTCTCGCTACTCTGTACTGACTTGCACCCCAACCTCCGGCAACAAATCCTTTTCGCAGCGAGGCTAGTTCGCTCCAAGCTTTCGGCGGCTCTGCTGCCATCCAGCTCCTCGTAGCTTGGATTCTGTATTCTTCCAGAGAACTGATGCAGAACACATCTCCAGTTCAGAAGGAAAGGCGCGCCTGAACGCCGCCTCTGAGCGCCCTGGGTCTGGGCGAAGCTGCCCCAAAGCTCCGCGGAGGTCGCAGGGCAAAGGCTCCCGGACCTCGCCGAAAGGACAAACTTCGAGTTGATGAAACAGCCCGAAGCTTTCAAGGAGATGAGTGGTTTAGATGGCAGAAGCAGGAGCAGAGGGCATCGTCGTCGTCACAGCAGTATTATGCATCCCATAAGGGCTCGCCTCTGCAGGCCGACCATCGCCGTCCAAGAACGTCAAGCGATAGCGGTGAAGGAAGTTTCGCGGGCACCAGGCCAAGTCCTAAATCAATTCAATTACTGGCACAATGGCAGCGGGCTTCTGAAGAAGCTTTAGGGGGTGCAGTGTTTGAAAGGGCATCCCGCGCACAAATCTCCCACCCAGGTCCTGCAAGCAGTTCGAGAAGGAGAAGTATCCTGAGAGGTATGCGACACATGTGATGCTCATCGTCAGAGCCTCCCACGATGCAACGTGCCCCTCTGTAACTGCTGCTTACATTCCCCTCCCCAACGCGTCCGATGCGGTGCTTCTCGGGCTAAGTCGCTCTTATCGGAGACGGTGGGATGGCCGACATGAGACATCTGCAGTCGGATCTGGTGCTGCCGCCCGGTGAGAATGTGAATAGCGAGCCTCACCGACATGTGGCATCGCTTGAAATTCATTCATTAGCAGCAACTCCAGCTGTCTAGCAATATCACGGTTCAATATGATGCCAGAGTGGACCTCTCTCTCTCTCACACGGACTCGAGTCGATCATGCCGCGAAGAAGCAAGCCGTTATGTCAGGCCTAAAGACTCTGCACACGATTGACCCAATTAGGCGGGACTTGCTCAAACAAAAGAATGGGAAGCTGTGTGAACACTCTGCCTTGCAACGACGTCAACAAATCAGCATCTATCAGCAAGAGTAAGCCTCCACCCGCCGCCTGATATGCTAGGTGAGACCTTCTCTTTCTGCTGCGGCCGCGGCCGTCGTCGCTGCACTGCTGTCTGGAACTGGAACTTTGCCTATGTCCATACCATGTTCATCTGCTAGACTCTTCTCCACACTCGAATCAAAACGATCACTCTCTCTTCTGTGATTAAGTGTCAAGCCCCCAGACTAAAAAGGCCAGGCAGCAGGCTCAACACCAGATCGGTGAAATGCCCCACGCCCAAAACCTGCCGAGTCTTGCGCCCCAAGCCATGCCCTAATAGGTCTATGACAGGGCTCTTGACATCCAGGCGCGGTGAAATGACACACGAAAACAAAACACCGAGAGCGCTGGACAAACTGTGTCATGGCATGGAGAGTTTCAGGCTTCCCGATTCGACACTACTAGTAGCCACCATCTCCACAAGATGCACGAAAAATCGCTGTTCGACTTGGGCCTTGAGTTTTGAGCTGGCGGGGCGTCCAGCAGCTGCGACGATGCTGGCGGCCTCTCCGGTCGGTTACGAGCACAGATTTCGAGCGGCTTACGGAGGCGCCTGTCTGCCATTTCCGAACCAGTGGACCTGACAGCACCAACCGAATGATTGACGGCATACTATTTCTTTCGGTCGGCAATGCACTACTTGTACCCAGTTACTGGAGACACTTCCTTCCTTGGCATGCCGTCCACACTCTGCTCTAGTTTTTCATTCAACGAGCCCAGACACACGGCAGCGAACCGTGCTTCGCGCAAACGGCGCGAAGCCATGGCTAAGAACACCTTGCAAGGAGTGGCAATGCGCAACCTCTGTGGTCCTCAAGAAAGAACTCCGGGTGCTCCGACGTGCAGGTCAAGGGGCAATATTCTCTCTTCATCTGGCCGAGAGACAACTGCAGCCTCAAATCCTTGGTTACGGACTCTCAGTTGGCATCAACTGCTGATGTCAGCTTCCTGCATCGGCAAGCAGCATAGAAAGCGCAGTGTGTCTTGGCTGTGAGAATCAGGCCCGATGTAGGAATGTCCAAACCTGCCACACATGAAGCGGTCTCGTTCAACTGCTTGCGGAGCCAACAACAGCACTTAGTGATTCCGAGGAGCGATGCAAAAAGCCACGGCTGTGACTTCGATCCTGCGGCAGACTTTTCATGCAACCCGTTTCCACACTCAGAAGTGCAGGCCGTCGCCTCCAGAATCGGCCAGCAGCGAGGTGGGTGAAAGGCCTGGAAGCTAAACTGTTACCCTGTGCCAAAGCTTGCACAGCAATGCATGCGAAGCATCGTTTGCAATGCTTGCCCCATTGTGCAGGAATCATGGCTAAAGCGTTGAGTGCATCTGGAGCAGTAAGAGGAAAGGAGTCAATCCCCACGTGCGATGTCGCCCATGCTGCACTGCTCAAATGTTCAGCATATACTGTGGATGATGCTGGAACGGGCAGTCTGGAGGAGTTTGTTAGCACATAGAACTTTCCCCGCTTCATGCATCAAACCTTAGTTAATCATCTGCTTCGGCTCTTTGTTGGCGAATATTTCGCATGAGAAGAAAGTTTGAAGCGGATGGATCTCGCATTTGTGGAGGGTTCTTGAGAATGCAGGTCGCCATTCGACCAGGTGCATGTTCTCAAAACTCAGGGATTTCGAGTCGATCCACGAAGCGTCAACCCTCAACCCTGGATTTCTTAAACTGCAAAAATGTTGACCAACATTGCCCTCGCCTGGGTGAAGTGCGACAGCCTGAGGGAGGCGTCCTGATCTGCACTGCTTCGTTTGCTTCAGCTATAATGATAGCACTGATAATACTAGCAGTGATGATGGCAACAATGGTATGACTGTAACAGCCATAATCATAACAATTGACATGATCATTATCATCATGATAGCAAATCGCACTAGAAACAACAGTAGCAACAATGATGCTGATGCCCCTTGCTCGCTGTTGGTCCAGCGAACTGTAGTACCCCTGCCTGATTACCTACTCCAGGCGGGACAGTGGGACAGTCACTCGACCCGTGAGTGCTCTCCTGTGGCTCGTCCTTCCCATCGTCGACCTGCAAAGTTCCAAAATATAGCGAAGCAAAAATACTAAGTATTCTTACTACTACTATTGTTGTTAGGTGATTATTATTATGATTACCCTCGCTGCAACAAGGATCTGTGCCAGCCTGCCAAAATGATGGTGGCTTGTAGACGACGCACCGGTCGCCCAACTCCTGTGTAGGCCCGGGAATCCCTGCATCTCCCATTCTCCGCCCAGAGTCGGAACAGAAAAGAGATGACCGAAAATGCACAAACGGGTGTGTAACCCCTTTTCTGCATTTGTTGAACCAGTCTGCAGGAGGAGAAAGCAGGAGTCTTCTCAGCTCTCAGCACCGGGCGAGAACCACATGAGGAAATCCCGGGCCAACCGGATCTCCTCTCATACTTAGTGGCTTGGATGCAGTGCATTTTTTTGAACCTCGTTATGCACAATCGGGGCAGGGGTATGGGACATGCATCTCATCACAAGAATCGCCGTCGGTGAGCTTCCCTTCTTGCTTGCCTTGTCGGGCGGGCTGCACGGAAACGAGTGAGACACTCCGAGAGAATCGGCTCCCGATGTCTGCCAGCAGTGTCCTGCATCGGACCGGTACTGTGAACCGCTGAACGAGCACATCAACACTCCGACCGGAAACTGATTTGCCTTTGTCTGGAGCTTCTCTTTTCTCACTGCTGTTGCTGCATGCGTGCCTCGCTGCATGTATTGTCCGTCTCCCAAGCTGGCCCGAGAATTGGCATGCCCACACCGTATCCTTGGATTTCGCAAGTCGAGAAGCTTGACCAAAGACATGCAAAAAACAGCACCAACGGCGACACGGATTCCGAAACAAAAGCCGCGTCTCGAGCACGCGGGCTGCAAGATCCTGCGATCTTTTCTGTTAAGGCTGCAAACGACGGGTGGCCCCGGGATGCCAAAAAGCCAAGACGAGACTGGTCCATGGCCAGTCTGAGTTTTCACTTTAGATTTAAACTACTTACAGGTGTCGACGCCCGAACTCGTGACTTCGAAAGTCGACAATTCCAACCCTGGCCGAGGGCCTGAAGCACAGCAGGCGCTGCTGGCAGCTGGGAGCTGGTGGCTTGTGAGATCAACTCATCTTGCCTCACGTGTTGTCTGCGCCCTCTCAAGGCGCCCTGCTGCATATCATCTACCTTCACAAGAGTAGGATGATGCAGTGCTACTTTGCTTCCTTGAGCGTCCAAGGTGCACAGCTTGGAATAAGCGGGCGGCTTGTAGGCTGCTGGCACAATTGTCGAAGCAGCTGCCTGCCTGAGATGTCGGGAACATACTCGTTTGTCACTAGCCTTCCTGGCAAGTTCACGCGTGCTTTCGGCTGGGCGTCGGGTTAGGCAAAGCACAAAGAGGAAGTGCCACCGTGTCTTCCAGCGCTTGTGGCTCCTCTGCTGGTTCCTGTAAACCAAACTGAAGTCTAGGAAGACTTTCGCTTCGCAAGGCCAGCTGTGTTTGCGAAATCGATTACCCTGTTAACGACCAGTCTGGTGTACATTGCGGCTTCACAATCCAGACATCTTTTTTCGGTTTCACCAATGTGCAGCTGCTCCAGCCCGACTTTGCAGGCTCTGCACAAACATTGGGGAGGTGAGCGGTCTACGTTCGAGGGCCTTGTCGCTACGCTTGGCGAGCGATCATGTCCAGCATCAGACGCAGAGAAGCGTTGCTATCGGTCACAACGCCTTCTGAGCTGCACATCCCTGATGGTCTGGCAGAGCTCCTTCGGAACCTGACGAACTTATAAACCCCGGCAGTGAGCTCGCTAGCCACTAGTGGTCGAACGCGACACCGAAGCGGCCTTTCGTCCGAAGGCGAAGCTGTAGTAGCCATAAGCGCCATGCATGCAGCCACTTTCCAGGCCACGTTGGGCAGCCTCTGGCATCGAATGTGTAGTGGCGTTGCCGGTATTCTGCAGACTTAGTGACTTCAGGCAGTCCTTATTGACCGATAAAGCTGGCACGAAGGAGAGTGGATGAGAGTGGGCTGCAGTGATCGATGAAACTCTCTTGCCTTGCAGACCTTCTCCACCAAGCGGAGGTTGTCTAAGTTCCTAAGTCTGCAGTGCTAGAAAGCACTGTTGGAAGTTGATTCCACAAGGTCACCTCCACATTTTGCTCCGAGGCTCTCTTTGAACGTCTGCATGCCCACCCCGTTCGTGCAACCAATCAGGCAGCCTCGAGAACGACCGGAACAACCTGCTCCAAAGTGTTCGAAGGCGACATGGCAAGATCTGCAGTGCCACGTGCTGCGCTTTCTCGCTCAGGGCCTGCCTTTCTCGCACCAGCGCAGTGCTTCAACGTAGCTTCGTGGTCGGTGCAGGAGGAAGGCAGTCGGCGAATACATGTAGCCTCAACGAGGACACACGACTTTACATGTCGTCCGTTTCAAACAAGCTTCCAACTTTGGGCCATTGCGGCTGAGCTTCAGTCACCTTTCCCCTGACCGTTTCCAGCATTTGCATCAGTGCAGACTGAAAGCGCTCCTGGCCAGGAGAAGTGAATTTGGGGATTGTGGGATCCTTTCTGTTATCTTTGCCATAAGCAGCTGGGAATACAACGGCATTTAAGGTCAGCCGAAAGTGTCGAAAATTCGGCACGGAGTGGAGCCAGTAGCTCTTCGTGTTGTCTGGGCATATTCCGTGAGTCTTTACGGCGCTCTCGGTTTCCAGAACGATTTTTCCGCATGATCTGAATTCGGGCGAAGAAAAACGAATGGCCTTGTGCATCGTCCGCGTCGTGGCCAGACACGGTTGTCGAGGCGAAGTGGTCCATCCAAATGCCATTCCAGAGCCTAGGGTTTAGGGTTAAGGGTGGGACGACGGCAAGAATCCTGGCGCCTCAATGAATCCCTTCGACGAGACCCTGAAATGCAAAGGTCAACCCCCATCAAGTCTGAAATCGAGGATCTCGGCTTCCACAAGCTCCTTCAGAAAGCCGGTGTTGAATCATTTTCTCAATCAAGTGACGTTGCATGCTGCCCCCGGACGACAGTGGAGGCTTGAAGGGACTGCTTCAGTCCCTGGCGAGTGCTGACGTCACCTGCCGGCAGCCGCAGCTTCAAGAAATGACGTCAGTAGCACAAAGACATGCTGTCGAGCACAAGTTCCTATCCTCTTGTCTCAAGCAAGCGGCGGAAATACTGGACCACGCCATGACCAACCCCATGATAGCACCTTTGCACGTCGGCCAAAGCTGGTCCACGGGAACTGTGCTCAGCCGCCACGGCGCTCCCAGGGAGGGCGGAAATCGTTTCCCATGCGCTGACACACCTCGCCGACGAGCTCATCTCTTACGCAAGGTCTTCAAGGTCTTATGTCTGAGCAGACCAGGTCACTCTGGTCGTTGCTGAACAAGCTGGTATACTCTGCTCTGATTGCATGCCGAAGCTCATGCGATGCCACAAATCGTGTTGCGGCTTCGAAGTGTCCAGCCGAACCTGCTCAACACTAGAAACTCGGCCTGCGCCTTTTTGTCCTTGCGGTTGTGGCATGGACCTGTGTTTATGTTTCCTCTCCCAACCTGCTTTGGAAAGGAAGAGCTCAATCGCACCATGTAGGTATGCAGCATTGCACACCATGAGGAGCTGCACGTCCTGCCTGACATGCAAGACTGATTCCGGTCCGGCGTGGGAAAGTTTGCATCAAATAGTAGACATTGCCTCGAAGCCGCGGCACCCGGCTTCGCTGAGCCCGGAGAGCTTGTCGATCCTCGGCCGCTCAAATCCACACAGCTTCGAGAGTGTCAAGAAGTCAAGCTGATAACTGCTCCCACTGAATTCCGGGTTCACGACTCCCTAGCCCTACCCACGAACTCAGCCATGACCGAAGAGCAATGCCCAGAGCTCAAGAAGCTCTCAGCAGTAAAGGACCTCCAAATCTATTTGAAGAACCAGGTGGATCCATGAATCGACCTGCCTCACCACGGAAGGAAGCACTTTGAAACCCTTTGCCATGCCGATTCCGAGGCACCGCTTGATACAAGGGCGGCTGCTTCTCGGCGTGCGTTCTCGTCAAAGCTGAGAAGGGACCCCAGCACGTTGACGAGGCCGTCCTGTATTGCGAGGAGTTTACGGGTGAGGTGAGGGACGGGACGAAGAGGTTTTCCGGTCAAGTGGCAGAGTTCGCAAAAACGTTTACCGTTTGCGGGCCGTGCTGTCTGTTGGAGGTGTCCTGGGAACACAAGAGGCTCAACCTGGGGTCCCATGTAGGGGCAAGCTTCCAAAACGAATCCCCTTGATGCAAGCTTGTGGAGTTGAATGCTTCCGCCAGGCTTGTGTGAATCCCGCCTGGATGTGTCGTACCTGTTCTCCGAACAAGGCCAGACACAGAACGAAATCCCTAAACCCTAAACCTCAAAACCCTTTATCGGAGCTGTAAAGGGAACCCTAATACAGAGCCATATAGTATGTACCCCTTATAGGAACCCTAACCCCCCCTATTGACAACAAGAGCTGTGCTTGGTCGGAGGTCGTCTTCTGGGCTCTCCGCCTGTGCACGGATACTCGAGGCTCTCAGGTGCTGTAATATAGGGGTCTTAAGAATTAGAATAGGGTTTTGGGGCCCATTACACCATAATTAGAATAAGGAGCCCCCAAACAGTGTTGGTAATCTAGGCCCCTTTTTTGCAGAGTCCTGTTGGGCTCCTCCTAGGTCTATGTCCCGGGGCCCATCACATGTAGCAACGTTAGGGTTGAGGCACACAAGCCCTGTCCTTGCCGGCTTCGAAGTACAGTGTTCTGCCAAGTCTGTGTAGCAGGGGATGGCAGGCATCCAAAAAATGACGATTCTGCTTCAGCAGCTTCTCTGCCTTCATCAGTGCCTGTCTCGTGCCATCTCTACGCACGAGTTGCAGGAGATCTTCGAGGATGGTTGTACCCTCCTCTGTGTACACAAACCCATAAGAGGCAGGAGCATCACTGCTGTTTGTGTCGCTGCCATTTGCCAGCATCGAGCTTTGCAATGCTTGGCAAGGCTTGCACGGTTTGCACTCTGCCACAGAAGGTGGCCTTTGCATGAATAACCACATGGTGGCCATACCACCCAAGTACGCGGCCAAGACGGAAACACACAGATAACTAGAGGATCGCAGAATAGATCGAGATTCCAGGGCTGACCCGTGGTCGGTCAGCAGACCTCTGTCCTCACCCACGACATCACCCAGTGTTTTGTTTCCCACTACGACGGCATTGAGGTCACAGTCATCGCCACCTGCTTCGGTGGAATGACCGTTCGAGAGCTTATGTGCAACAGCTGCCATTGCAACGAAAGACCAGTGCCAAAGTGCGTCCTCTTGGTCGACTGATGCTCTAATCGTTAGTTGCCTGAGACTTCGATCGTGCATGTCAATAAACACATCAAGTTTTATTGCGCACTAGCTTCGCTCGGCTTTTGGCTTCGACCCCAACAGCCAGACAGCCGTACCACAGATTGACTAATGACGTTCTTGGTGGCATGTATCGTCCTCGCCATTTCGGCCCAGTGGCTGCGGATTTCTGGATCAGCAAGCAACGGAAAACCCATCGGGCATTTGCGTGTCAGAGCCTCTTGCCTGCTGAGAGTGCCTCTTGTGAAGAAACGCCATAGCACCCATGTGCCGAGCAGCAGATGACATCGCAAGGCTCGCGAGCTCTCGGAACGGCAGACCCCGCACACGGTGGTTCTGCAGCAGATGCTCGAAGGATTTGGCCAGCAGCCGCGGCTCTGCACAAGTGATGGAGGCCTCAGAGGCGTGCGTTGGTGAAGCCTCCACATTCAGCCAAGCTGAAAAAAGGCAGAACCAAATCCACCGGCAAACATTGATAAGCCGTCGCGAAATATCATAGAATTGGTGTGACCTGGTTGGAGACCCTTCGACGGCAAGCTATCAGTATCCTTCCAAACTGCAGCCCGGCATGCACTGTGTTTCCGTACGAACGTTTCTCTCATCAGGACGATTTGCCTATGACAGCACGGTTTTCGGCAGTCCTCAGACGAGGTACCAAAGACCACACCAAGCTCGCCAGCTCAGAGGCCTCAGGGCTCCGCCAACAGCAAGAGCAAGACATAGGCAAAGCCTCTGCAACTTCGGACGCCTGGAACGTGTTCATGGCTTGCAGGGCGGACTCTGTTATCTCCTGAGATGATGCAGACTTTCAACATGGACCGTGCAAGACAACAAATCTAGCTTGCTGCAAACTCTGCCCTCTTTCAGGATCGTTCGTTTCAGTCTAGTCTAGCAAGAGATTGGGTATTGCCAAGGAAACCCTAGTTTCGAATAGTTTCGAACCGTCCTCATCTGAAAACATAGCAGCAACTTGAACTGAGAGCATGGGTTCCGTGTGCATCCTTCTTCTCTGCCCCCCGTTGATGCCGTGGCACAAATGCCTCTTGCCGGATGCTTGAAGCATGCGCTGCTGTCTGCGGCCTCTCGTAACATAACATTCCCAGGCATGTGCAAAAACAGCAATGATCTACCAAGCCCTACGATAACACGTAGCAATGCGGAGCTCCCCAGCATAAAGAGAAACCGCTCCGGCAGGCACCTCGCAGACTCCGGTGATTTGGCCAGTGCCCAGGCTCTTTGGCTCAGGTCCTACACAGAAGAGTGGGCATCATCTTGAGTTTTGTGTCACCAAGGACCAAGTCAAGTGAAAGCCCCAGCTACTGTTGACACCAACGATCAGTGGTAATCATGATTGTGGCGCGAAGCCTCGCAGCCAAGCACCGAGACGTGTTGGAAGTCCTCATCCCCGCATGGTGTCGCACGCAGAAGTGCAAGCGCCACCCTGAGATGCATGAGAGCACGGGACTGCATGTCGGGTCGAAGGAATCCAACCACTGAGGAGTTTGGAAATGCCATGTTGCATGTTAGAAGTCTAGTGCTTTGCAATGCTTTGCAGCTCGGTTTCCAAGCTACATTTCGCCACGGACTTACGTAAGTCCAGACTTCGCTCAGCGGCTCGGGTTTCCGAGTTGTTCCAGCTCTCTTTTCGACATGATCCCTTGGCCCAAAAGCCTCAAGGCCTTTCAAGCACCCAAAACTTCAAACCTTCGAGGTGCTGCCATCGTCGGGCCCGCTCTGCTGCTTGTCCGCCGGCTCCCAGGTGCAGAGCCCGCATCCAGGCGCTGACAGCTGTACCTTTATGTAAACAATAACGCAGTGAACGTGAAACAGTACCGAACCTAACTCTGGCGCTTGGCATTCCATTCCAACGCCAAACAGTGTGACTGCCTGCCCTGGCCTTTAGAGCTTCGAAGGTAGGCGACTGCACATTCCGGGTCCTGCGAGTGCGAAATGCGCCAAGCTGCATGCTTGGACGGCGATGCGATGCGCGACAGGGTCCGGCCTGCGAGCTCGGCGAGAGCTCGGGATCAAACTGCTACAGGGCTTTAAAGTGGCTTTTTGCATTCTTTGAGCCTTACTCCGCCCAGGCCCTTTTTGAGAATTGCCAGCGCTTGTGACCAGCAGCCAGCCTCGATCGGCCATGCAAGTAACTGGTGATTGGCAAGGCCTACCCAAAGCACTATCTGCAGTTGTGACACGTGGCCACAGGCAGTGGCGGCCGCATTTCGAGTTTCCGTAGCGGGTCTGATGCAAACCTGCGTTGGGGCTGTGACTAGCGTGACCAAAAGCTGACCGCGGGGACCCAGCAAAGTTGCAGAGCAAATGCTCTTCAGCAGCCACGACAGTCATAGCCAAGCCGCGATTGGTGCCGCATGCCTGGACTCGCAGGGCAAGCTACCCTGTAGAAGTATGACTCCATACATTGACCAAACCCACTCCAGCTTCTGAAGCCATATCATCACAGCCAGCGCATAGCTTGAAAGTCCAGCACCTTTGCCAGTTCTATGCCAAGTGGCAAGTACTGAAGAGCCTTGGACCAAACCAGGCCAGCATCACATGCGCTCAGCAATGGTGTCAGGACCCTGGAGTTCAAGCTCACCTGAGCAAAACAACGAAGCGTGGGAGTCACGGGCCCAAGATTTTCGTCAACCTGGCAGTCTACGGCTAAACCTGCACAGCATGACCGTAGGATAGGTGCTTTACTTGAAGTCGTAAGCTTCAGCCAACTTCTTGCAAGCGCAAGTCGTGTATTTTCGACACGCACCCTCGCTCAAAGCAGGCACGGACTACGACAGTCTAAGAACACACGAGCACCAAAGACAACCAGTAAGAGCCTTTTCTGCATCAGGGCTTGCACAATCGCCTGAATGTCTGGGGCAAAACGGAGGTTCAGCGCTCATGACTGAATAACCTGCACCCTCAATCACCCTTGGGCCGCGGAGTCTTCTTAGCTGCTGTCAAGACAACCTCAAGACTCAAGACAAAGCTAACCCCACCACAACCAAGAGCCATCAAACCCACCACTGCAACAGCTCAGCGAAGATCCGACCCCCGCAGGGCCAAGTCAGAGGACACAGCCCAAGCCACGTCCGACTAATTCAAAAGACTCACTTCTGGAATCTCAACAATCTACCTAAGCTGTCTTAGCACTACCCCTATGTCCATAGGTTTCAGGGCTGAGACAGACGTGACTATGCCTCTGGGAAAATCTAAGCAGGTGCCCATGCTCCTGCTTCTGCAAGATTTCAATGTATTTCAATAATAATAAACGGTGCGGCATCAGAGTGTGGCTGTCACAATGATGGCAGTTTCCACAACGTCGGGCTACCATATCCAGCATGTTTTACTATCCTCGAAAACAACTTCTGACTTGTGGAAACTCGAGAATGAGCTTCTTCAAGCTCCTTCAAGGCACCGAGAGCTACACTGAGAAGAAATCATCGGCCACGTGAACGTCTTTTGAAGTGGAGCTCGGCTCTTCTGTGCTCTCGTCGAGCTTTCCGAGCTGTTCGCTCCAGCTGTGAGCTTCGCTCGGAGACGGCTTCCGGGATAAACCCTGTTGCCCTGGCTGCACAATACTCCAGAAGAATGGTTTCGCCTTGGGCGGTTGTAAAAGACAAATTGCCAGCAGCAGGAAGAAGGTGAAAGGAAGTGTGTTCAGAGGGTTCCAATCATCCTCGGTCAAGTCCAGCGCAAGTGATATGATGACGAAGACAAGCACAGTGCTCAGAATGACCATGGGCGCAGAGGCAAGTGCCCGCACAATCCGAGGGCAACATTTCCAGCGTGACATCAATTTCCACAGCCGCATGGACACGAAAAGCAGCACTAGGATGGATGGCAGCCCCTTCGCCCAGTCAATCATCTCTGCCAATGCGAAAAAGAACCGCAAGAGGTCGTCATAATGCTCATAGTCCGGGTTGCGGCCAAGGTTACCAACTTGGGAAATGAGATGGAGTCTTGGTGCAAGCCAAGGAATGTCCCAGGCCCAAACCATGTAGATAAAGAGGTCAAGAGGAATCAGACTGCTGCTTAGGCGCTGTTCTGAAATTCTGTCAGACAGCTGGCTCCTGACTGCACCATCAAAGACATCTAGCCCGGACGTGCTTCCTGAAATCTCGTGGGATAAGGATGAGATCGTACGTCTGACCTCTTGGTCATCATATGCATCGCTTACCGCCTGGTACACAACTTCCCTGTCACACATGATCCTTTTGCCAGTTCTGGGATGTCTGTGCTGGAAGAAGCAACAAGAACATTGGCTGTCTGCAATGCTGAACTCTTGTAGCTGCTTAGGCAGCTTCTGCAGGTCTTGGACCAAGCCCATTCCCAAGTAGCTCTGCATCACGAAGATGACCGGAACCAACAGAAGCATTAGGCCGAGCCTCACAAGTAGCCTCAAGCCGCTGTCGCCCCAATCGACGGTTGCAGCTTCCACAACGGTGAGCTGCAATCGCACACAGAGCCATGCTGCGCTGAAGAGGCAAAGGATGACCGGCATGGTAACGGGCACCAGCTTGATCTTCCGCAAGCGCTCGGGTCGGCGGAGGAACATGGCAATCTCGTAGGTACACCAAAGCCTTAGGAGCTGAGTACCCTGACCCCAAAAAACTTAACCGTTCCACTTAAACTTATGGTAGGGCTATGTAAGCCCAAAAAGGCTAAAGGTTACCAACTCAGCTACTAAGAAGCCGAGTGAAGTATCTGGGTGACCAAATCACGGTAAGTTCCTTGGCGCGCTCCAAATTGTTTCCGAGTCCCATGATGCCTCGCGTCTTCAGCTTGTCATTATGTTGAGGAATACATAAGATGTCCAAGAAGACGTTCTTGGGGCCCAGAAGAAGGGCCCGGACACGCTGCCAAAAGCAAAGGAGTAGCAGGAATGACAGGTGCGGAATGATGGCCACCCAACTTCCTTCCGGAAGGATCTCAAATGCCTGGAGCATTCCCAGGATGATAGACAAGAGCAGGGTGGTCCAGAATGCGGCGGGCGCATTGAAGACGATCATCAAAGAGAGGACTTTCATCCAACGAGGGGTCCCCCAATCGTGACTGAGAAAGTGGTCGTAGGAACTGACTGGCCGCACCTGAGCTGTCGTCGACGTGTCCACTGTGGCGCTCGAGGAGGCGAAGTGCCGGCCGAAGCCGCCAAGACAAACGTGAAGTGGTACTCCATGCGGTTCCAGTGGTGCCAGATCCGCCGAACTGCTTTCTACAGATCCCGGTGACTCCATGGCGCTTCTTTGCTACTGCTGGCCTAGATGTCACGGTTTAGGGTTAAGGGCACGATTCAGGGCCTGAGATTTAACTTTCTTTGGGTCTAGGGCCTAGACTCTGTCATCTAAGACTGCAGGGTCTTGGAGCTATCGCCGAGGGAGCTTGGATTCTAGGAGGCACTTCCATCAGCGTATGTGTACATGTCAATGGGGAAGGCAACCTTGGCATGAAAGATTGAGCCAGAATGGCCTGTGTTTTGTGTTGCTCGAGGCCTTGGAAGTATACCGCAAGGCTATGCCATCACTCCGGGATTCATCTAACTCCTGGAAACTTCAGTGTGTACCTGAGGAACTCAAAGTTTGGGGTCAAACTGCCTTCGGCTGGGTCTTGGGTCATAGCAAGATATAGCAGCATAGCAAAATGAATCAGTCACATTCATGATTCAGGAGCTTGCGGGTCGACCAACGTGAACTCACATGTTGGTTGGAACCACTTTGCTGCTGGAAAAGACAGGTCGCCTGCGCAATGGCCATGCTCGTCGTGGTGTGCAAAGCAAGTGGCCAGGTTCCAGTGCTTGCGACTGCACCAACTGCGGCACCGAATGCAACCACATCCTGAAGGCTGTCTGAGCTCGGCCAGGCAACAAGGATTCTCTAGAGCATTCAATAGCGAAAGAGCAGTGTCATCTTGCCCTGCTTGAGGACCTCTTAATGTCGTGGTGGATCATCACATGGAAGGAATGCGCTCACCACCACCGCCAGTAACACCTTCCTTTGAGGGATCCGAACCTCCTCTCCCTTGCACAAAGGCCAACAAGTGGCAAAGAAAGAAGTATCAATGTTTGCACTGTCTGCTCGCTAAACTCGAACAAACGCAAGACTTCAACTTGGTGTGTGCGGCTTTACCAACCTTCGTACAGAACTGAATTTTGAGTGACTCAAGCTGTGCAGAGTGTAGAGCATCGGCATACGTACGGACTTGGCAAAATACAGAAGTCGCAAGTGGGTGTCCAGGCACGACCCCTCCGAGAAGCTGCTGAAGCGAAGTCAAGGAATCCGACGCCACCTGTGCACTGCCCCAGTGGAGATGGACTCCACGATACTCCACAAGAAGGACATTGGCGATTCTACTCCACCGGGGGAATTGCATCGCACACACAACCCCTGCAAGCCAAGATGACCCAAGCTCTTCAGCCTAAGCCATCCCATGCCTGCCGGCCTATGCCTGGCCCTGAAGTTTCCCGTCTCAGACCTGCGAAGAAAACCCCGGAAGTGAGCCGTCAAAGCGCCTCCCAGCGCTGCTGTCCCGCCGCGCCGAGTGCAGCGCTGAAGACAACCGGATCCTTTGCATCTGGCAAGGTGGAGGGTCGGAAGAAGCCAGGGCTGGCAGTCTCCAGATGTCGCTAGAGGCTAGAAGTGTCTACAGCATCTGGGTTGCGATCGAGTCGCGTACTGCGCTTTGGCTTGAGCCATGTCCTTATCACAATGACTGAGGGCTGGAGGAATGCAGAGAAAGACATCAGACGCGACAGGTGCGGATAGACAAACGAACCCAGGACAACTGGACACCGAAATGATCTGAAATGCTTGTCCTCCTCCATGTTCCTTGAGCACCACCCCTTCCTCAGTTAACCCAACTGCCAAGATGCTCGCACGTGTTCGAATGCCAACTCCCACAGACCACTTCCTGCTCAAGGTGCCGCATGCGCATTGCCGGTTCTTCCAGCATGAGTGCAGCCACAACTTTCCATGCCGTCCATGTGCCGACATGGCCCGAGACTCGATTCACATCTGAAATTCTTGACAAACCAAAACCTTTGGAAGTTCGTCCCGTGCAAGATCCTCGGCAAAGACTGATGGCGGCCGAGAAGGATCTTCCGTCCTGAAATGAAGCTGGAGTCTGCTAGTAACAAGTAGTACAGTAGAAAACTGAGAGGCCGAACCGAAGCAACAGCTTAACCGTTCAAGCATCGGGCTTGATGTCGCATGCCTGCATTGCCTCCAGAACAAAGCAGCTCTGCCTCCAGCCACAGGCCTCAGCATTCTGTTAGAGCCACGTGGCCACACGACTGCCTGCTGGCATCGGAGATGGTAAGACCTGGACCTTGAGGACCACATTGCAGTGGATCTCATTGACTTGCAGCTGAAGCTTGGCCAAAGCCTTCAAACCGCAGATTGGCCCCAAGTGTTGATATACTTATATATATATATAATACATACAATAGTATATATACAGATATATTTGAATACCAACTTTTTATATATTATATTACCAGGTTATAATACGTTATGTATTATATTGGGTTATATCTCTTCCAAGGATTCCCCCAAAGTCAGCTTCGCGCCTGCAGCGCTGCAAGGGCCTCGGGCCAGCGTCGTAGAGCCAGGAGCCTTCGGCTGCGCTGGAGGAGACTTCTGGGAGTTTCCGACCCACACCCACAACCACAATGGAGGGATCTATAGGGGTTCCTTCCAGGGTTCCTCTAAGGGTTCTATAGGGTTTAGGGTTTTGGGGTTTCCGAAAATAGGGGGAGTTCAGGGTTCCCATAAGGGGTAATATATGGCTCTATATGGGAGCTTTCGAGAGTAGGAGATTTGGGGTTTCAGGGTTTAGGGTCTGATGGGAGTTTCCGGAAGTTTCCGAATATAAGGGCTCCTTTAAAGGGATCTATAAGGGCTTCTATAGGGTTTTTATAAGGGAGTTTCCGAAAATTAGGGCTCGCTTATAAAGGGATCTATAAGGGTTCAGGGGTTCCTTTAATTTAAGGTTCCTATAAGGTTTCTATGGGGCTTAGGGTTTGGCAGTTTCCGAAAATAGGGGACCCAATTTCGCCCCTACAATAGTAGGATCCTTGTTTTCAGGACCCAATGCATAAAACATCCAACAAACGCTCGCGGCAGTGTGCAAAAGCAGCTCTGAAAAGCGCAAGCAGCGACAGGCCATAGGGAGTGCTTGTTTTTACATGTGTCCGCATACCCCCAGATTTGGCACGGCCACAGGGATGTCGCGCGCTGCGGCGAAGATGCGGCAAGGCCTTAGATGCGTGCTTGGGACAAAACTGGATCAAGTCCGGAAAGCAGCATGGCCATCATAGCACCACAGCGACACTACTTGTGTTAATGGTGCTCCTGCCGCCGCTACTCCTAGGATTACTCCGACGACGACTACTGCTACCACTACTGCTACCGCTACTGCTACGGCTACTGCTACGGCTACTGCTACTCCTACAACCACTACCACTACGACGACGACTACTACTACACAGATAGAGCTAGTATCGCGCACACACACACACAGACACACAGACAGTATGACAATCGGACTATCGAGTTAGGACGGCAGTAAAGACAGATTAGTTCCGAATCGACAGATATTGGCCAAGACACGCAGAGAATCTGTGGAGACGGTGGCCAGCTGCATGCAGCCTGTCGCGTTCCCAACTTCACTGTTATCGTCGCTCCTGAACCCCTGCTACAGAGACATCCAGACATGGTCGCGATGGCGGCTGTCCACATTTGCAGCATATTCTACAACATCCTTGGTTTCTTCAAGAACTGAATCCCGAGATCCAATCGACAAGTTGGAAGCCGAGAAGCTCCCTGCACGCTTTGCGCACTCTGATGCCGAGAAGGCTGCAACATGTAGCTGCCGTGCGAGGACGACATGACCAATGCACGTAGCAGCCCTCCTAGGAGAGTTCACAGAACTGACGTCCCGAAGACTGGAAATGTCCGTGCATGTCGTTAGCATGACCGAGTCCCTCTTTCCTGCGAATCTTCTCGGCAAATTGAGGCTTTGATGTGGAGGATACACTCTAGTTCGATTGTAACCCATGCACGTAGCGTCGTCGACATCGTCTGGCAGTGGTTGGGGTGAAAAAGCTATAGGCTTTGCTCACTCGTGGACCGTGCTTGAAGCATCAGCAAGAAAGCGGCAAAGGAGACAACGACGTGGCTACTGCACTATGTGTGTCGAAAAAACACTTCATGCCCGGGCAACTGATCCCATGTGGTGATTGGACTCGGACGGTCCAACCCAATGCTCGGAAGACTTGGACCCTTGGATCCCTGAGTTGGCTGGTTCCGAGGATTCGGTGCTACTGGGATGGCGCAGTGGTGAGCCACTGACCGGTCTTTTTCCCCCCTCCAGTGCTTCGCAAGAACCAGCGTAGTTAAAGTCTTCACGAAGCCAAGATTGCGCATCTTGACATGGGACGAGGACGGTGACAAGTTCACCTGTCGCAGCACGTGTCGGAGAGCTTCCAGGTATCAGACTTGACTCAGATCTGCTGCGGCATTCCCCGATGAGCCTGATTCCTCCTCCTTGTACAGCTCGGCGGCCAGGCGCACGGCTCCTCTGTCAAAGGTTGGGATGGTCAAGGGGTTGATGTGACTTGGCGAAATCGCATTTGCCGAAGAGCTTGCATTTGCTGCCAAGGTGCGGGAGGTCCAGGTCTCTTCGCAGGGCAACCACAGCTTTGCCACACGAAGTTCTTGTAGGAGACCAAACACCGCCTGAAAACTATCCAACACTCGGCTGTCAAAAACCCCAGCTCTCGAGCCTGTCGCCTCACGTCATTGCAAACAGCGCGACCGGCTTGGACATATGTTAACCTTCTGAACTGCCGGCAGCGCCTCCAGTGCATCTGCTGCAAGAAAACCCAGGCTCGCAGTGTCGTTGAAACTGAGGGCGGGCCGCCCCACCCCTCAGCTTCGAAAAATCGAACCCGTGCTGTCGTAGCTAACTCTTTTGAGCGTTCTGTCTGTGGAGCGGTTCAGTCGAGCCGTGCAAAAGCGACATTGACTTACAGCAGGCTAAAGTCTGCAACAGCCGAAGTTGCTCTCGCTGAATAGTCTTCGGCAGCATATAGTTTTGGACCACGGTGAAACACCAAATTAATCGCTTCAGCGGCAAGGCTTTCTATGCCTACGGCACCAAAATTCTTCAAGTTGTTGACAGCAGATTGTCGACATAAGGACTGGAATTCCTTCGAAGAATGATGAATAACGGCACGTGTAGACGCCCTGTCTATCTTTCTGTCTGTAAAGTCAAGCGTCGCATGTTCAGGGTCGTCACACGGGCGAAGCCCATTTCTTCGCAAACCTCGGAATCTCAGACTTCCACTATGCCGAATTTCTGCAAAATCAAGCTGTTTGTGCCCAGCATAGGACTTGCATGACTCGTCAGGACGAAAGGACATGCTCAACCGGTACAAGCTGTGCGCGGTCTGAGGTGCCTCACCACAAACTTCAAACGGGACGAAGAAGCAAGGGGTTGCCAGCTCTGCACAAATATCTGCAGCCAGAGCCTGCTCAACGAGCATCATTCATCAACCGTTTCGACCAAAACACGTGCGCTACTGCACTCTAGGCACCGCAAGCACCCTGTCGGTAGACATTGCAAGACGCCATAACTCTTGCAGTCGCCACTGCTCATGTGAATTAGAACTGCCCTCGGACCTCCACGTCTGTGGTAGGCAATCCTCGCAAGCTGCAATAGCACTCCATGGGAAGCTCTTGCTGATAGTTATGTTGAGTCCGAGCGGTGACGTGTTTCATGTCTGTTCTTATCGTAGCTGCTGATTCTGCTTGTCAGGCCAAAGCTGCTTTTCTGCTAAAGCCACGCCCCTTCCTGCCACCCTCAGTTCCACAATCTACCCTTGGCAGGAGATCCTGTGTGAAGCAGCGCCAGGCTGTCGGGTCGTCCGGAGGCCTTCCGAACCATCGAACCGAAAGGTCGAAGAGAGGTGATTTTGCGGCTTGCCGGAGGATCAATCAAAGACTTTGGTTCGCTCACAACGGTTGTTGATTTTGTGCTTCGCACCCTTACATTGTCAAATGACCTGATCTGCCTGACATCCGGCACCATAAGCTTCCGTGACGGCTTTTGACAGCGCTTCTTCAAGGGATTCTTAACCGAATTTGATGGTCTCGAGCAAGCTGTGTTGACATGCGCAGACATCGCAAACGAAACACTGTAGTGGGCAGTTTCAGACAAGACATTGACATCTACGTGCCTTCGGACACTGGCGCACCATTTTCAGCACGCGCTGTACCTGCGTGACGTGAAAATCCCACCAAGCAATGTAGCACCACGAGAATGAAGCATATTCATCAAGTCGCCCGGCTGCGCACAACATTGTCATGGATTCTACCGAACCAGGTCTGCGTCCCAATTAAAGTGGGCACTCGCCTGATCCACGGTCTCCACAAAAGCCAAAGCATCCAAGCTGGGAGGATACCTGCAAGGCAAGCAACAACACCTCGCAGGTGCTTTGAGCAATTCGCCCATTACTGCTTGCAGTACCGGCGACGCGCGCGCCTCAGTGCGGGTCCTCGTGCCATCTGAGCTCGGGCCAAAAAGGATCCTCAGCTTTGAGCAGGCACTGCCCTGGTCGGAGGCCAACGTCACGTCGCATCCGGCATCCCCCCCCCGAGAAGCTGCTGCTGCTGCTGCTGCCCAGGAGCTGAAAGAGAAGATCGGTGGAGTCAAGGTCGTCCGGTCCTTGGCGCTGGCGCACAGCTCGCCCCAGTTCATGCAAATTCCTGCCGATGGATACTGCGACTCAGCTTCAGTCATGCTCAGCCGGTAGCGGCTGAGTGGATGCTTGTCACGCTTCCAGCCGACGACCCAGGTCTGCAGTCCTGCTCTACTCCTGCTCTCCGAGCATGTATGTACATGCAAATGCCGGCATCAGAATGAACCAAGACAGTCACTGCAGCAACGGGTCCTAGTACTTTCCGGAGCATGTAGCTCAAGTGCATGTCTTCGCCGGTCAGTCGAGAGAGCGGGGGCTCACGTAAGAATGCCGAGGCGATCCACCGTGTTTCCTCTGGAGATAAGAGCAAGGATGCCTTTCTGAATGGGTGAATACTTAGCTCATGGACCGGTAGGATGTGGATACAAGGGCCGCTCCTGCAAGCGGGGCAATCACTGAACCAAGCATTGTCGTGTTGCTAGCTGCTGCTTGCATGGAGATCTCCAGACAACAAGTCCCAAGTGCAACTCAGGATCCAAGAACCACGCGGCATTGGCGTAGTCAACAGCAACCGGCTTCTTTGGCCGGTCCACCCATCTGACAGCAGCATCAGAAGGGGCTTTTCTTCACCGACCAATGCAGAGATATCCCAAGCAAGACCATGACTGTTGCTATTGCTTCTGGCGATTCATGCCGAATCCATGGCTTGGGTCACCTCGCCGTCTCTGGGTCAGCCCGTCGGATGTGTCCAGCATGCCCCCAAACTCCTCACTAACTGAAGACTGACGTTGTGACACGTGGGTGGGATCATGCCAAATAGTGCTTGCAAGGCAAGTCAGCCTAATCATGGAGAGGTGACCGACGCATATTTGGGCAAGACTCCCGGCTGTTTGCGGATGTGGCGCAAATACCTGGGCCACCGCACGAAACATACAAGATCTAAGCGACAAACAAAAGCAGACTGTGTTCCAGCATTGGTGAGTTGGCTCGTTCAAGCGGAGCTAGGTCAGTCTAGGTGCTGGCCTATGGCAGAGACAGGGAAAGAGACGTCGTCGTCCACTATGTACACGTACCTGAAAGACACGCCCAGGAGGAGGCAAATCTTGCAACAGCCCTGGAACTCTTCTTGCAGACTGTGGGTTTCAACTGGGTTCAAGCAATTTTCGATCGAAGTGCCTCGTTCTTGCCGCTGAGGCCAGTAAGAAGCGGCCGTAGACACCGAAGTCCACCTTTGCAGGGCTTTCGTCTGCAGCTCTTGTGGCCTGCTTTCTTCTCCTTCCTTCTTTGTTGGTTCTGAGCTTGAAAAAAGCGCCCGCTGTTTGCCAACATTTGCCGTGCACAGCACCGGAAGCCTCGCTGGATATCAGCTTGACCTTGCTGCCCCCGTTGCTGCGGAAGTCATCCACGACCGCCTGGGCAGTACACTTATTCAAGACGGATGTTGGAGTTGAAGGAGTAGCTCCGCGCGGACTTTCATTACCGAAACAACGGCACTAACCCAACTGATCTCTTTCCTCGCTGTTGTTCTCAGTGCGCCTGATATTCAGCAGCCATGGGCGATCCGAAGACCTCGTGCTCAAAGATGATCAAAGTCAAGATTGTGAACCATGGGAGACTCCGAAGGTTGCACACATCGATTGTTGGCTGGAGCTCTGCAGCCAAGAAACACAAAGCCACACCTCACTCGCTTCTGGCACAGCTGCAGCTGCCCTGCCGCGATGGAAGTCGGAACTTAGTAGACTCAAACCTTAACTCTACTCCTAAGGCGAGTGCTAAAGAGCCTTCAAGTGAGGAGCAGCTAAGCTTCTCGGAGCAGATAGTCCTGCCAGATCCTGCCAATCGGCGTTCGTGACCGATCTGAAGTCAGAAGCTCTTATCGACCTGGTCTTCTTCTGAGATGCCAGAGGGCCTGAGCTGTCCGAAGAGGTTCTCGGCGGGGCGCTGCCAATGATTCAGGATGATCGTGACCTGACGTCTCAAGCGCAGCCCGGGCCTTGTCTGACGACCCACATGCCCTGCTGCCGGCCATGACGCAAATCCCTTCCTGAAGCCATCATCCCGTAACTTCCTGAATAGCAGCACTGCATGAGCAGCCTCGAAGCTGCCTTCTTGATCCGGCCTCCTGCTCATGCGGCGCTTCTAACGCCACGAGGTCTGCATAGCGCTCCGACAGGCGCGAGGCCTTTGGCATACCGGAAATTTGGACAGATCTTCTAAAAACATGTCTTGTAATCTATAAGCCTAAGCCAGCGTCAGACCTTTTTTTGCCTCTCCAGGGCATCCCTGCGACTTCGACCCGCTGCCACACACGCACACCTTTAAACCAAGCTCCGAGCACGACGAAGGCACTGACCGCCCTCGGCATGGCACTCCTTGCGGCTCCAGTTGCACCGATCTGCACCCCTCCCCGCGCCCCTTCATTGCATGAAGCATGGTTCAACCCCAAACATCACATCCTGTCATCCCCCAGGCATTTACACCATGTCTTAACCCAGCTACTAAATATTGCTAATAAAGCACGTCCAACAGTCTACACAATTACCCATGACAGCCATAACATAATCCCAAACCAAAGCCACTTCCCAGACCAAACCCCGCAGGAGGAAGAGCAAGAGGTGTTGCAAAAACACCTGCAGCAGGAGCAAAAGCAGGATCCCCCTAAAGCGACAGGAGAGGTAACAGCCCCCAAATGTAACGACACTTTTCGAGTGCATATTGGGGCTCATACTAGGGGCGATGAGATTAGGAGCTTTCGTTCAGGACGAGAACTTATTCCCGAAAGCTTCGCGAAGGGTTCTTCCGTGTGGAACGCCGCAGTTGAGTACATAGATGACAGACATAGAATCAACTTACTTGACTCCATACTTTACATTACACTTGATACTTGACTCTACACTTGATACTTACTTACTTACTTGTGACTTACTCTGTGACTTACTCTGTGACTTACTCTGTGACTTACTCTTGACTTACTCTGTGACTTACTCTGTGACTTACTCTGTGACTTACTCTTGACTTACTCTGTGACTTACTCTGTGACTTACTCTCTGACTTACTTACTCTCTGACTTACTCTCTGACTTACTCTGTACCTCTCTACATACTCTCTACATCTCGTGACTTACTCTTGACTTACTCTGTGATTTACTCTGTGACTTACTCTCTGACTTACTCTCTGACTTACTCTCTGACTTACTCTCTACCTCTCTACATACTCTCTACATCTCGGTATCTAAGTCTCTCTTCTAAAGCCAGGGGTGGCACCGTCGTCGTCCATCGGGAATGCAACCCTTCCCAAGGATTCGCCTCCTCGAGCGCCCAAACGCTAGGTAAAGTTACACATTTTAGGCGCCCGGCGCAACCCGTCCCAGGGATTCGCTGCCTCGGGCGTTCAAACGCTAGGTAAAGTGACACATTTTAGGCGCACCGCGCAACCCTTCCCAGGGATTCGCTGCCTCGGGCGTTCAAACGCTAGGTAAAGTGACACATTTTAGGCGCCCGGCGCAACCCTTCCCAGGGATTCGCTGCCTCGGGCGTTCAAACGCTAGGTAAAGTGACACATTTTAGGCGCACCGCGCAACCCTTCACAGGGATTGGAACTCTCGGGCGTTCAAACGCTAGGTAAAGTGACACATTTTAGGCGCACCGCGCAACCCTTCACAGGGATTGGAACTCTCGGGCGTTCAAACGCGAGGTAAAGTTACACTTCTTGCGGGCGCCGCGCAACCCTTCACAGGGATTCGCCTCCTCGGGCGTTCAAACGCGAGGTAAAGTTACACTTCTTGCGGGCGCCGCGCAACCCTTCACAGGGTTTGGGTGCAGTTCAATTTTTTTTGAAACCCTTCACAGGGATTTGCATTTTGCAACCCTTCACAGGGATTGGCATGGTCGAATGCACGAACGCTAGGTAAAGTTGCATTTTTTGATGTGCATTGAAATGAATTTTGCAACCCTTCACAGGGATTGGCGTGGTCGAGTGTTCGAACGCGAGGTAAAGTTGCAATTTTTTATGTGCATTGAGATGAATTTTGCAACCCTTCACAGGGATTGGCGTGGTCGAGTGTTCGAACGCGAGGCAAAGTTGCAATTTTTGATGTGCATTGAAATGAATTTTGCAACCCTTCACGGGGATTGGCGTGGTCGAGTGTTCGAACGCGAGGTAAAGTTGCAATTTTTGATGTGCATTGAGATGAATTTTGCAACCCTTCACACAGATTGGCGTTGTCGAGTGTTCGAACGCGAGGTAAAGTTATTACTTTTGATGTGCGTTGAGGTGAAACTTGCAACCCTTCACAGAAATTGGCGTTGTCGAGTGTTCGAACTAGTACTATAGTACTACTACTACCACTACCACTACTACAACTATTATTACTACTACTACTGCTACTACTACCACTACTACAAAAGAATACTACTACTACTACTACTGCTATTACTACTAGTACTACTACTACTACTACTACTACTACTACTACTACCACTACTACTACCACTACTACTGCTACTGCTACTACTGCTACTACTACTACTACTACTACTACTACTACTAGTACCACAACAACAACTACAACTACAACAACAACAACTACTACTACTACTACGACCACGACTGCGACTACGCGACGACGACTACTACTACAACTACTACGACTACCACTACTATCACTACTACTAGTACTGGTATTGCTAGTACTACTACTACTACTACTACTGCTGCGACATAAAGTGACCATGCATAGAGTCATAGAGTCACGTTGAAACCACAGTAATCAGGGATGTCTATATAGTGAGGTTCCGGAGCTAGGAAAGGAAGACTTCTGCGTCATGTTGGACTATACTCTAAACCCGCTAAACCTGAACATTAGTGTTCATAGAGTGAACTACATCAAGTCAAGTGCGTGGTACATAGATGACTCTATGACTCTATGACTCTTTCTCACTCTGACGCTATGACTCTATAACACTATGACTCTATGATTCTGTCTCACTGTGACTCTATGACTCTATATGACTCTATGACTCTTTGAACTATGACTTGTGCTTGACATGTACTCGGCTCTATTTCTCGATGACTCTATGAACTATGACTTGTACGACTCTTGACTGTATGTGACACTCCGACTCTGTGACTCCGTGCTTTTGACTCGGTGACTCTATGACCCTATACACTGGATTCTATGACGTAGCGTAACACTCTTCGCTGATGATGCTTTCGGGCCAATTGTCTTCTAGTTACAGGTTTATGGCTGTGGTTTTGCGTGGTGGCTTTGCATAGGTGCTTTGTGTTGTGGTTTTGGAAGGCTTGCATGTGAACGTGTGAAGGGGGAAGGGCGGTGCTTTCGATTCTTGCTTCGAGCTCTGTTGTGTTGAGAAGCTTCTTTGTGTTTTGATGTTTTGGGAGGGTGGAGTTATTGGGCTTGTGGAGATGTAAAGTTTTTCTGTTTTTTTGAAGGTCCTTTTCCTCCCTGCTACAGTCGGAATACCTGTTTGGTGGAGCCGAGGTGTAAAGTTAAGAGCCGAGGGTTAGACCGTCGCCGTGCCTCCAGGAGCTGAGCCTCCAGGAGCCTGGCCTTGGAAGACGACTGAGGGCTGCGAGCTGGGAAACTATCCTTTTCATGTAGCTCCGCATATCAGACCCTATCAGACCCTGAGACTGACGAAGAGCATCTTCAAAAATCACAGTCGCTCACAATCTGCCTTCCCGCGCTGCAGAGTCGGCGCCAAGATCAGGATCCTCAGCGGTCGTTTCCGCAGGATCAGAGCCGAGCTTAACGTAACATGACCCGAAGGCGGATCCTCGCATTCCGGTTGCACGGCTCTTGGTCCTGAACATCACGGAACCCTGCCGTGCCGATCGAACATGAACCAAAACGTCTGATCTAGAATGAACTCGAGCAACTGGAGTACCGCAATGGCGAAATTCGGCCAAACGGACCCAAGCTCTGCCACGATTCCACGGCGTCGTCCATGCAGAAGGCTTTCCCATCGACAAGATTGCATCAAACTGCCATGTAGAAGGGGTTTTTGGTATGTGGTTCTGTTGAGTGTTGCATTGTCTCACCAACCAGGCCCCAGTGCAAGGCTTTTCGCGGCTGTGGGCTGCGGCCGAAATACACACACTGGAGCGCATGATCCTGCATGCTTGTGCAGGAGCACACTTGCACGAATCAGAAACAATGTTTTGTCCCATTTGCTTCGGCAGCTTCCCTCTCATGATAGAAGCTGGGCGCCGCCGCGCCCACCCGAGGGAGAAGACCCGAATTTGGCAGCATGACCTGGAGATGAAGTCCACGATGCGCAGGACGCACAAAAGCAACCCGTGGCTCGAGATTTCCTATAGATGCTTGCGCGCGACAGTACGACACCGGCCAAGCGGCAAAAGCTGCTTTGGGTCCGGCTCGACGCGTCGTGCCCACAGGTCGCCTAAGAATCAACAGCAAAAACATGTCCAGCTTGATGGGGTGATCTACATGCCGAACCATCCGGGAAGATGCGGAAAGCACACAGATGTGTGAGAACTTTCGGGGCGAGCTTCGTCAGTTGTTTCGCTCTCTTGGCAACAACAGAGGCTGCGACCCCATAAGGCGCCGAAGGTGCTTCGCAACAACCTTGGCCTCCTGCCACGATAGAAGGGCCTGACACAATGCACAGGGTTCGCAAAACCAGATCTTCGCTTGCGAGGTGACGAAGGCGTGTGACTGGGAGCCTTCATTGTGCCCTCGTTGGAAAGAGACCTGCACGAACAGGGCCAGAAGACTGCAGGTTGAACAACCTGTCGGGAAATCTCGGACCCCTTCCCAGGTTTAGCCCGTGGCTGAACTTGCTGAACTTCGCTGAACTGTACCTGGTCCAGTCGGCCATCGAGGTGTCGAAGAGCTGCGTCGAGTCCAGCAGTTCCAACTGGGGAATCACGACCTGCTCCGGAGCAACAGATCCACGAAGCTTCAACCACAAGCCTCCGAGCCTCCAGAATCTTGTTTACGCGGATGAAATTCTGCTCTGGCGTCCTTGTACACACTGCGTCTTGAAAACTAACTTGGAGTGGCTGCGAAGAGCTTTCCACACATGTGTGTGATTTGAAACATGAACGACGCTCGTCAATTGCAATGGCTGCTCCTGTATTCAGACTCCAAGAGCACGGCCAAGCCTTTGGCAAGTTCGCACTTCGCCTTTCAAGAATGCCAGGACTGCTTTCGAAATGATGGCATGATGGCCTTGAGAAGCCTGTGGAATCCTGGGAGCTTCGCGAGCCTAATTCAGAATGTTTGTGGTGCAAGCCTGGGACTGACCGCCGAAGATAATCTACAGCTCGACGAATCTCGACTGCTTCACCCCACACTCCGACACCGATGAGTTCACTTCCAACGGGGAAATGTTGCGTTCTAGGGAATGGCAACGCGGCAACACCCCTCAGAAACACGTTGGGAATCCGGAAAGTTGCAAAGCTTAGCAATGGCTCCTGCTCACAGCTGGAACACCCGCCTGCAAACACAATTCTGCAATACCTCTCAGTCTCTGTCCTGTGTCAGCGATAAGTTGAACCACGACCTCAGTAGCCGCTGCTGTCTGAGTTTCTGCACGCCGTGTGGAACCACGATGCTCGGTGGAGGAGAGAACATGGATGATCTGATCGGCATGTGAGCAGCAGCCGTACGCACCACCCCTGTTCTCTCTGCCAATCGACAGACTTTCGGATTGGTATTCAGCCCCCTTGGAAACTTGAACCCTGGAACTTTGCGAGCTTCTGATCTTGGTGCACACGTCTACGTGTTGTTCTGAACCTGGCAGCCATGGCACACAGCCCTCCTGGCTGAATGCAGATCCAGCTAGCGCTTCAATGAAATCAGAAGAGATGTTGCAGTCCGAGGCTCTGATGTGGCCAAACAGGAAATGGGAGACTGAAGTCCCGCTTCCAGCGAGCGCGGGTCTCCTTCACGAACTGGTCAACCTCACCTCGTGGGCCAAAGCACACATGTCCAGCCAAAGCCAAGACATAGAACATCAAGCCAGCAAAACAATAAGCAAAACTCCTCCGCCGTTGCCTAGGGCGCTACACTCACCTTGAACTTAATCTGTCAGGCCGGCCAGCGAAGCCGGTGTTAAGAGAGAAAGCGGAAACGGAGTCGGGGTCGATTGCTTTCAAGGTTGGGCCAAGTTTGGTGAGATTTGCGGGGCCAGGAAAGGCCTTGGTCTGGGGAAAAAGATCTCTGCGCAGCAAGCTTGTGCAAATGGCCCCTTCATCATAGCAAGCGAAACCGCACCACCTCCGTTATCATCATCATCCATCATTGCTCTATCTCTATTTCTTTATATCACCACGGCCGCCATCAGCGTTCGCGCCATCTTCATCATTATCTGCACTATCATTTTGCTGACAATCGTTGTCATGATCGTTGTCTGCATCGTTGCCATCATCGTCATCAACACATTGAGCGAACTGGCACCTTGCCTAGTCCATGTGCCCCTGCTGCATCCTGTCAAGAGCCTGCACTTCCTCCTTCACACCTTTTTGAGCCTGCTGCAGTCCAAGTTTCATCGGTCAAGGCTTCCGTTGTGTAGTCGCCGTAGAACCTTCCTCAGCATTGCTGCCCAAGCTGAACTTAGCACTGCAAAGGATTGTCTCTAGGACGTCGTGACAAACCCCGCAGGACCCACGTGCTGAATCCACCTGAGGGCACAAACGGCCGATGCGGGACTTTTCGTGATGAGACAAAGACTGGCAGTGAGCCGGACTTTCAGGGTTGTAGTCTTGGCGTACAAGGTTCCAGTACAGGCCGACATTGGAGCCGCACTGCTTCAGCAGCTCCCTGTCTGCCCGTGCATACCTGTGCACACGAGTTCCAACTCGAGGAATTACGGCACAGGAACGGATGATTGGTGTAAATCCTGCATTACCCATAGTAAGGAATATACCATAATTCCATAGTTTAGGGTCCTTAAGGTAATGCAGGATTTACATCATCAACCGAAGAACTACTTGTATTGTAATCGAGACCGGCCGATGACTGCGCAGTCCAAGAGCTCGGGCGCCTCCAGTCTTCTTTGGGAGGCTCCATGTAGATTCCTTTCAGCTCCGTCTGCACATCAGTTGGTCTGTGGCACAATGCAGGACAGCCGGTTATGCAGGTTTTGCGTTGCATGGAAGGCTCTTTCGAAATGCACCCCGCGAGTGGCCAGATTCAGCAGGGATTCGGCACCGTAGTCAGAGTTCACCTGCAGCGTCGCAGAAGTTGCATGAAGCTTCAGGGCCAACAGTTGTCCTGGGTATCGTGGCCCACGCCGCTGAAACAGGGTATCCATGCTTGTAGCAGCCTTCGTCGCAGTCCTAATTGTGGCGGTGGTGGTAGCGGCTGGTAGCGGTGGCGCATGATTCTGGTTAGTACAAAATGTCAGTCTTGTCGTGAAGGAAAGTGTAGCAGTAATGGTGGCGGTCGTCGTCTAGTGATGGGCAGCAAAACACATACAATGGATGTGCCAAAACGGAGCAGGAGACTGAGTCGGTGAGCTACAGCACTGGCATCTCGGGTTCGGCTTTATTCTCTTCAGCGGAGCATAAACCAAAATCCAACAGTTCTGAATCTACCGATGCTTAAAACCATCTACAGCCATAGGTTTTCTTTGTCATGCTACTGTGGAAGCCGCCGCGGGACTGCCCGCTTCCTTTCGTGGCGGATCACATATTCAACCCGCGTCCAACTTACGTGCAGCTCTTCATTCTGGGCACTGTCTTCGGGAGATGGTAAAAGGCGACTCAAGAACTAGTAGCATGTTATTTCAGCACATGATCCCAGCGCTGTGGAAGAGCCGCTTCCAAGCCAGTGCTCAGAGCTTGAAGACAAATCAAGAGAGCTTTTGCCGTCGTCTAAGGTTGTCCGCAGCGAAGGGAATGCAGGCGGCTAGCGCTCCGCTAGCAGCAACATCAGCAGCGCGACCCCACACCAACGGTCGCATGCACTGCCGAGTGCCCGATGCAATAATAGAAATGCCGAAGGACCACGAACATGACACGGGCATAGTTGTTCCGGCTGTGGCTGTGAACGATGGCGTCGGCCCAAGCCATGGCTTGTTCCGGATATTTCCTTGGCTCTTTCAAGCTCTTTGGGGCCTCCGGCCTGGCTGGCTGTATGCCACGGTAGACATGACGAACAAAAAGTAACATAATTTGTTTGGAGCCGGGGCTGCAGGTCGAGGTCTTTTGTCGGCTTCGTGCCGCTAGCTGCTGGGATGCAGGATGATTTGCAAGGTTTGAGCATGTGGATGAAACTATTCCAATTTGAAAAGCATGGGTTCTTCCCCCACCTGTAGAACATAACGTGGCAACTCCGCAGGGAAGCACCAGTTCTACATTCATTTATATGATTATCAAGCAGACGTTAGACTTTTGTTGTCCCTGCAGTTTCAGCTTGAAAACTTGGCTGCTGATGGGAAGGGCGGTCGGGTTCCAAAGGTGTTGGGCATGCATGTTACATCTGACGAGCCGCCGCAGAACCTCTTCAAAATTGTCCACAATGACGAACACCGGCTTAGGTAGAAGAAGTGGTAGCGGAATTCGGAGCTTCTCCATCAGGAGGCAGAACCACTGCTGCTTCCTGTAAGCCCAGACACCTCGGCCATGCAGAGCATCATAATACATGATGCAAGTCACTTGTAGAACAGGACAAGGCATGACTTGAAAAAACTGATGTTTTGTGACGCAGGCGGCTCAAAGCACGCCTGAGCAATATCAAACGGAGGCATCAAGTGCTCACCCAGTTTGGAATGATTCGGAACCTGAAGACTGAGGTATGAAGTCGAGATGCATTGCTTGACCTCCGAGCCGCCTCTCACGAGGGTGCCGAACATCTGGAAAGTGATCCACCTTGTGTTCGCATGACAAACAGCCACAAGGAGGTCAGCCAAGACGAAGCTGCAGCTCTACTAGATATCTAGTCTTGTTTTCTGCATAGTGCATAGGACAATGAGTTGGGGAACTTCTTCTTGGGTCTGATGGGCTCGCACTACTGCTCTGCGAGAAATAAAGAAAGCGACAGACGGAGGAAGGGAGAGAGCGAGGGAGGGAAGTATCGAGGGGAGAGAGACAGAGTGATATGTGTGTATACATATTTTATGTATGAGAAAATTAAGAAAGCTAAACAGAAATCATTGATATATTGATATATATATATATATATGTAGAGAGAGATGAGAAGAGAAGAGGAGAGGAGAGGAGAGGGAGAGGGAGAGGGAGAGGAAGAGGAGAGGAGCGAAGAGAAGAGAAGAGAAGAGAGAGAGAGAAGAGAAAGAGAAGAGAGAGAGAAGAGAGAGAGAGAGAGAGCGAGAGTCACAGTGGCTTCAAACCTGACGATAGAAAAAAGGTACATGACATCACCCGGTATTCCGGCACATAAAGACGTAGCCAGCATGCTGTCCGAAGCTGTCTTGGCGATGCGCTTCGCCACCTAAGCATGCTTCGGCAGTAGTCACACGGTCATTACTGTCACGGTCAAGCCAACCGACGACCGGTGCAACAACTCGTGACAGCTGTGTTCGAGCATCTTGCGGGCTTGGCACCTGCCGGTATTCTTGATTGAACGACCTTACCAAACGGTTTTGATGCCGAGCCAAGGGGCCATTCATGTACAAGCCTCGCCAGCAAATCCAGCTCAAGGGCCAAATGGTCCAGCGTCTTGACCATGGTATAGCCTCGCGCACGCAAATCCATGGAGTTGAATACAGAATAAAGAATACGCTTGCTTAGAAGCTGGGCACGCCTGTGCTTCTGCATCAACACAACCCCCGCTTCAGCGGTCGATACCAAGCGGCCGTCTTCGTTAGCCAAGAGGCAGTCCGCAGCAGCATAGTTTTGCCACTTTGGGACTCCCCCTGTAGGACGACAATCCTTGGAAATCATGCGTCTGAAGGCTGTCACGTAGCTACGTGCCATATTTTCCCAGTTCCGACTTGTGCGGTCTTGTTGACAGCTTCTCCAGACCACTTTGGATGAGTTTGCTCTTCTTATTCTTACATATAGAATCATAGAAGTCCCGGGAATGTTGGATTCTAGCATACAGAGATATGTACAGCAAGGTTGAGCATGTCGTGAAGGATTTGGGGTGGAGAGCTACAGCCACTCGGCGCGGACGGAAAAAACCGCACCCCTGCCGATGTGTGTGCCGGCATGCGAGCAGTGATCCGACATGCTGAATCACTCAGCTCGTATTCCACAGCTGTGGACAACTACCGAAGTGCTCACGATCGCATGGCGGAGTCCACATCATCCAGATCTCCTGGTCACAACTTGCCCGGCCAAGTCCTTGAAATCATGTCGCAGTGCCTATCTCTTTCACCAGCAGTTCCACCTTGGTTTTTCAAGGGCCTAAACTACGCGCCCCCGATCTGCAGCTTGGCTTCCGATTGTGTCTCAGCAGCTTGTAAGGATCGGTGGAGAACCTCGGCGTGGAGTGATGCAGCCACACAAAAGATCGTGATAGACAGTGCTAATGCGCGTCTGCCACTGTGCTGATTCGCCCGTAGCCCGTTTCGTTTCAGGTCCAAGTGACCATACGTGCTGAGATGTCGGTGGTAATGGGCCGCCCTGGACATGCCATGAATGCTTTGGTGCAGCTGCTGCAGCAAGCAGTGCAAGCAGTCTGAAGATGCAGCGACGACGATTCATAGGAGTTGCCAGGCTGCTTCCATGCGAAGTCGATTGAACAAAGGCTCAACCGGGCGTGCTTGGGGATACCTTGGATGTTCGCGTCATACAAAATCAAAGTTGATTTTGCGAGTTCAGTTTCCACTGGAATCACCGAAAAACTGCCAGGCGCTTCTACACGTAGCTTGCTTCTCTACTGCCGCAAAGATACATTGCTCGCTTTGCAGCACTTGTCACGGTAACCGTCCCAATGATAGCGCAGACTGTTTGGATGAAGCCTGTGGGGTGCGTAACTCGGAGCACAACACAAGAAACAAGGGGTTGTATTGTAGCTGTCGGGCACCGATGCTCTGAGAATCGGCAAGGGCACGGTGAAAAAACAGTGTCTAGGCAAAACTGAACACACAAGGGACCGTGGGACATGGCCTGCTGCCTAAAATTAGAAGGAAGCGTGCTTCGGTCCGGTCTCGTATCTTGACAATCTTGCTCAATCTTGCAGCTCCGAAACCGAAGCTCGTGTCAAGGCCATACTTGACTGCTGTGTCCAAACCTGGGCCACCATCGATCACAGCCAAAGTTCAGTTGTGCCTACTACTCCTTATGCTGAACGTAATTGGGCATGGGTGGAAATTGCATGAAGACGCATGCAGCTAGCTGCAGCTAACCTGTGTAGTGGATGCACAAAGGGCTTTCCTGTGCGCCTGCATCGTGGGAAAGATGTTCAGCGTGCTGCTTGGGCTTGGGCGTACTTCTGTGAAACATCTAGAGCTAGGACGCTAGGATTTGCCCAAGGCTTCAGAATGCGCCACGGCCCCTCGGAAGGCCGGGGTGTGAGCATTCAGCTTATCTGCTCACCTTCTCAGCCTGCCGAATTCTTGCTGAGGCCCATCTGCCGTGCACCTACTTGACTGCATGCGAGGCTCTGTTGCCCAGTATGAAGGACAGGGGTGAGTTCTCATCGCCTTGGCTTGACGGCATGTCGTAAGAAGACTATGACCGGTTGCTCACGAACATGCCACAATCTTCGTGCGTCTGGCAAGCTCAGCTGGGTCCAGGTCCAAGATATCCAGGATCCTGTTTCACTCGGTGAAGGCCCAAAGTCATCACGAACAAACTACCGGGGTTTTGAACTTCGGGATTTTATTTTATCATGAACGACTCGGACCTTTCACTCGGCTTTTCCGCTCTGAATCTTCTTCGCAACCATCATGGGGATCCAAATGCTCGAAAGCTCCATCTCATGCACGCCCAGTCTTCCGCCTTCGCTTTGACCACCCTGGGTTGGCTGCGCCATACAATGGAGTCTGAGATGCTCAGCAGGGGCAGCCTTTTGTCTACTGGTTTTGGCCAACCCTGCTGGAGTCTTTGCTACATACTACATACGCCTTACAGCGCAAGTCAAGGGGTCCAGTGCCAGGGTCACACGCTTTGCAACATGATCGCGACAAACCCTTCCAGTCCATCAGTCATACTACTGAGCCATCAAAGGCTGCAAGTTACATCAGAGAGCTGCGATTGATGCATCCGTAAAGCCTTTCCCCACGTTGTATCGTGGAAGCGAAGAACGCATTTTTCCGACCTTTTTTGCTGAGGGCTCCTTGCCCAAATCCTGACCATCTAAAGCCTTCGCTCGCTGCTTGGCTGCTCGCCGCCACTCAAAACCCGTGTGCGAAGGCTCGATCTTGACGAAGTTCGTGCGTTGTGCGTGTTCGAGTCCGGTCAGATCTTACTTACCAGGCCGTGTCGGCACACGGTCAAACTTTCCAGATACTGCGTCATACCCAGCTTCTCTTCGAGAGAAAGAGGGCGGACTGTCCAGGTACCATCCTAGCACGACTATGATGCTCGCCAACGGGTACATATGGCAAAACAACCGGTGCTACACTGAACATGACGTGACACACGATGTGGATCTCAATGGCCTGGTGGAGGTTTAGTTCACAACCTAGTGTCTGGTGGCACTCGGAGCTGTCAGCACGGACGGCCCCAACTTGTTCTGGTCGTGTTTTTGGGTTTGGTGAGGGTGTGGAGTGGTCTCGGGCCGCAGTGGCCAAGAGACTTAGTATGGGCCCGGCCGATTACTCCGTGCCCGCTTCACGAAGATCGGGCCAGCACCTGCAAAGCCGCTTCTAATTTGCTACTGTTCATGCTTTCTCCATTGCTGGCCCCGGCCTGGCTTGATCTCATATTTCTCGTGCAAGGTCTGTATTGCTGTCTCTGCCTGGCACAGATTGAATCAGAGTTACTCCCCCGCTTGGCTTGCTTGCTGCAATAGGCTTTGCACATTCGTGGTCTTTCTGGACATGGCTGAGGCTGAGGAACATACCGGCCAAAGAAGATGGCACCCGACACACATGCCGAACTATCCGCAGGGTGTAGCCAGCATGCATGAGCCCACAGTCTCAGAACATCAGAAACCAGGTTCATCTGAACTCCCCCCTCCCTCCCCTGCAATTTGTCTAGCCCACCTCGTCAGACAGCTCGTACTCTACAAAGGCGCAATTTTGGCCGCTCTTTGACTTCCCGGACATGATGAAAGTCTGCGCAATCAGGGCGCGTTGTCATGTCCCCAGAGCAGTACTTCAGTACTCGTAGGGGCAACACTGACACAAGCAGCATTCACCACTGAGAAGTCTGAAGAATCTGTCTGGATAACAATGTTCTATCGAGGCCCGTAATTGCCCCAAGATCTGAATCAATCCTCTTTTACAGGGGAGGGCCTTGAGCACGTTGCCATATGCTTTGAAGACCTGAGTAAAACTTCTCTGCGTGCAGCAAGCATGCCTCTGCCTTGCCAGGCAATTACATCTCGTTCCATGAAGTGCAGATTTCCAAATCCTCCTTGGCGGGGCAATTCCTGCACAGTGTCCGGGTTATGCGGTCCAACAGCCAAGTAGAGCACGTACTGTAGCTGGTCATCAGTGACATCCGGGGGCAAGTTGCCTACGAACAGCCTCGTCCCACCTGGCATCGGCCCCACTGCAACGCCGAATTGCAAGTCTTTCTCAGCAACAGGGTGCATGTTGGAAATCTAGGAACTTTTAGAATTTCATGACAATCTCGTGGCGGAAATACCTTTGCCACTGCCACCTGCCAGCCGGAGACTGTCGAGATCAGACTTGGCCCCAAAAAGCCGGCTTCCATGAGACTGCGCCTTTACCATCATCCCAGCCGCCACCGCCGCCTTTGCCTCCATAGCAGCCTTTCTCAGAACGATGCCAGCACTTGCAACTCCAAGCGTTGCTGCAAAGCCCGCCTCCTCCGCCTCCACCTCCTCCCTTGCCCCAGCTGTCCCAAGATTCGCCGAGGCCGCCCTGCAAGGCCGTCTCACATCACTTCAGAACACGACGGCAACCAAAGACTGCCGCTGCATGCGAAGTCTGCCGTTGGATGCAAATTCATACCAGGGCTGGGCAGAAAAATGAATCAGTAGCTCAACTGGACAGGCAGCCGGGACGACCAGCGCCGGCCCTGCTACAACAAGTGAGCCTCTACGAACTGTGCTATACTGTGCTACCCTCGGTGTAACAAGAAACAGCAGGATGCTGAGGTTCACCTGCATGCCACCGCCGCCAAAGCCGCCGCCGCCGCCGCCATAGCCGCCGTAGTGCCCGCCGTCGCCCTGGCACGGTGTGCATCAACACGTCTAAGTGCATCCAGACGTTTCTCGGAAAGTGTGTAAGCGCGCACAAGTAGTCCCCTCGGCCAGATATTGCTTCAGGAGCTTGCTGCTACCCAGATTGCAACATGATGCTCGGTTAGACCCCGTGGTCCTTGCCATATCCATTGCTCCAGCCACAGCCACCACCGCCGCCGCCTTTTCCTCCATCTTTTCCTGGCAACCACAGGTAAGGCGGTATTGCTGCAAAGTTCTGTTGCCTGACCCCTGTTCTTACAGGAATTCAAAGGCAACAGCACTAGAAGAGGGTAGCACCTCCTTTGCTTGATCTCGCCCAGTTCACCTTGCCGGATCAAGCACAAGAGCGCTCTACGAAAGCCATTGAACCGTCGTCGTTGCTGAGCACTGTGAGAGAGGAGTGGGAAGGCAGTCCCTGAATGCAAAGTCGCCGCAAACCTTGCAGATGTACAAAATGCGATATGTAGCCATGGACAATGAACGTAGTAATAGCTGATCATTAGTGGCGCCCCGGGTTTTAGTAGGCGACCTGCTGCAATGTGCTCCGGCAGGCGTCAATTCAGGACTTGTAGCTTTGTATGTTCCTTTCTGCTGTTTGTCAAATGGGTCAACTTCGATGCAGTAGAGCATGACAAAAGGCCGGAGAGGTCTCATTCTTGCACACCTCAAGATTGGATGGTTGTGCGGTGTGGGGTGAAGGACAAGGTCTTCAACATGAAAGGGTTTCTAGTGTTGGTAGCTACCTCGAAATCATCGAAGTTTGGTTTTCAAGGTTTCGGACCCCTTCAGCAGCCCTCCAAAGAAACCCCAACCCCCCAAAACCTTACTAAGGCCTTCTTTCTGACTCTAACAAAGCTTCCAAACCTGGCTAGTACACCGAAACCCTCCGACGGTGCTACTACTGTACTATTGCATTCCTAATGTATTTGTGTAATTTGAACCCAGGCTCTGCTCCATCGTATTACTACTTTGCTCCTGTACTACAACTGTCCTCCTGTATCATGCAACGTGCAAGCAGGCCCCCGCCCTCACCAACGCCCCTCTTAAGAGCCTATCTCCCTCTACAGCCCACAGCCCCGGAGACAACCTCCCTGACACTCAAACATCTCTGGCATTTTCGGATGCTGCACAGGCTTACTCCCCCAATCAGCCGCAGAAATTAAAGGTTAAACTTTCCGGTCCCTACTAAACTATAAGAACCCAAAAAGTTTGAAGGTTGGGTGTTGGGGCTCAAAGCAGACTTGACAGCCCTGTCCTTCTTCTTGCACGAGAAAGGCCGTGAACTTCCCTGAACCCTGCCATGGCCTGGATAGCATTCTCTGCATCTTCCCGGATCCTCAGCTCGGGCCACTGCCGGTACGTCGACTTCGGGTGTTGATGGCTCTGACGGATCTACTGAATCTGTGTACTGGAACTGGATCCTGCTTCCTGCATCACAGGCCCTACGCCTGACAGCACCTGGGGCCAAGACTTGTAGACCTGAGAATCTGTCATGGCGGACATATCAATACAAAGCAAGCGGTACAGGGTGACAACAAGCACAGCGATTGGAAAAGAACGGTCGTGTCAAAATTGGGCTGTCCTGGCCCGCAATACTGAGGAGCACACGCTGTTCAAAGCCTTCGCCAGGCAAGAGCTTCCACAGTTTTACGCTGAGACGAGCGTCTAGCGAGGCAGAAATGCCTATCGAATCGAAACAAACTGGTCGCAAAACGGGCTGGGGTGCAGCAGCACCACTGTCTCGACCCGGAGCAGTGACAAGGATGGCACGGCAAAGAAACTAATAATGAACTGCCTAAGTTGCCACAATGCACCGTCCGAGGAAGTGCAAACAAACCCATGACTTGCAGCCAACCTGGATTGCTGTTTCTGCAGCTTCTCGGCTCTCGTACATTACGAAGGCCTCGACAACACAGAAGCAACTCTTGTGTCCAAAATGCATGAACTCGACACAAGCTCCCCCGCTGACAGCGCATTTCAAATTATGGTTCGGTACGACCCCCTCTCCCACTTAGTCGCTAGGGTGCTGTAGAATTTGGATAGGTCCGTATGAATTTTGGCTCCTGCCACATGTTGCGGTCGACGCCTATCCCAAAATCATTGAGGGTCTGTCCCTCGTCCCTCTACCACCGACGCCAAAAAGACCCTTGTTTCCCCTGGTAGTCAATCCCTTCCCACTTCCTGCTTCTTTCCATTACATTATCCGGAAGCTACAGCCCGAAAACTGCTTGCACGTTTGTCTAAGCCTTATCTTTATCACCCTATCCAATGGTTAAGTCGAATGTAGCTGGCTTCTGCATGTGTGACATTCCCATGCGTCACTTTGCACAGTCGCCTCGCGCATCCTTAGTCAGACCTGAGCACGGTGCGCAAGCTTGTCCGGTTTGCGATCGATTTCCTTGGTAACTCCGCTGATGAGACAGTTCTGTCTAAACCGCTTCAAACGAACCAGGTAATCAATCAGCTCAGAGCAACCTAACGCAGCCAAAGCGGCTGTCACCAGCGATGACATGCACATCAGTGACAGTACCGTACGTCTTGAAGACAAACTCGACCTCCTCGCAACAAACATGACACTCGAAAACCACCGATTGTGGCTCTAATGGCGGTCCGGTGGTTCCCTGCGTGCAAAGCTGCCGTGTTACTCGAGGATGTAGCTGCATTTACAGCAACTGTCCTCCTTCTGGATGTCGGGGGGTAGGGAACCCACGAACAGCTTGTTCTCCTCGGCAGTCACTGCGGCTAAGTCAAGCATCATGATCTTCACAGCTGCAGCCCAAAGCACAGACCGCCTATCCACAGCGCATCAGAAAACGGCCACTTGGCTTCAGGGCGGCTCTCGTACCGTGCAGCCAAATTGCGCCCATCTCTGCGCAAAATCAGGAGTACGTCAAAGCCTTCAAGACTGCAAGAAGCAAGAACGGGATGGGCGAGTAATAAATCTCCAAACTCAGCAGCTCGACAATCCTTGATGAGGCAGCCTTTCAACACATTCGTGTACAACATGCAGCACCGGGGTTAAAGCCACTCGCAGACATCTGGGAGTCAATGAAGATGCAACGTGGTTCTATGCCCACTCAAAGTGTAGCTGAAGTGAATGCTCAAGCCGAAGTGCACATGCCCATAAATGTCCAATCCGTCTAGAATCTGGTGCCTCTGCTTTCTCCGCGGCAGCGGGGCCATGGGCGCGAGGGCGGCACCCAACGCCCCTTTCACGCCCGGGCCGATTGCAGCAGCAGGCCAGGAGTCAGGCTAGATTGGCACGACGGACGAAACGAACGGCACACTTGTCTCCGTCACTAGAAGGTTTGCTCTAGGGTTTGTGTTGACCAACCATGCCATCACCGAGGCATTGCACATTTAGCGCAGCAGGAGAACCTTGGTTGAAGTTCTCTGCAGTTCCTCTGAAGATACGGCTGTCTCGTTAGCTATAACTTACATAACATTACATAACCCTGCCGACTTGGTTGGGGCTCCGTTGGGGGGTGAGTCGGGTGTATGGAGATCAATCGCGATCCATCTCCGAGCTCCTTTTTGGCGCTTGTGGCACCTTAATGTGTAAGCTTGGCAGTGAAACGAACAGGAATCGCAAACCTCAATATGTCGATATCGGAATTCGAGACATATTGGAATACTTGCATTCAGCGACTGCGATTCCCGGAGCCAGTCGCGTGGCAACTAAAGACTACAAAGTGCTGCTACAGCAGCCTCTAGAGGTATGGGCTTGAAATGGTCCCTGGTACCATCAGTCTTGCAATGCTTCAATCAGGGCTAGGCTTCTCTCAAACCCCGATGCGCACCGAAACTAAAAGCTTATCCAGCTAGTATGGCCCTATCCTGGTCTTGACAGGTGGCCCATCATTTGCCCACTCCACGAAGATGAACTCCTGAGTTCCTGCAAGGAAAGCAGAGAAAACTCAGCCACAAGCACAGACCGAGGAAGAGATTCGCATCGTCAGGGCTTCCGGCGGTGCATTTTCTCGCAATGCAGATAATGTGGCCACAAGTGAACACAAAAAGTTCGGCCCAGCTTCCATAGCACCAAAGCAACACTGTGCGAAACATCCGTGACAGTATGGAAAACACAGCACAGGGAAGAGCCCGCAGCGTCTGACGCACAGCTGGCACCTCTGCTCTGCTCGCGACACAAATGCCCACATCCCTGTGATATTTTCAAAAGGATTCCGTTGCCCGTCAATAGGCCTTGTACCTTTTCACCAGCATGTGGCTGGTAACGTTCGCAAAATCCAGTTTGGGCATGACTGCCACACGGCACTTATCACAATCAGGCCACCTTCGGCATGGTCTCGTCTTCCGAGTAAAAATGTTCCATCCAAAGGCTTCTCCGCAGTACACTCCCAAGGCAGCGCAAACAACAGCAGCGCCATGTGAGCCCACAAGCACCGTGTCCACATGGCCCTCGAGTTCCAGTGTGTACCTGCAGCTTGCGTCGGCTGTGAGGCAGTCGGAAGAAGGTTCTATACTATGCGACATATGTACGGAAAGTAGTGTCGTTTTGCCTAGTTGTCTAGCAGCCCTCTCGGGACACATGCTTTCCTACTTGGACTGAGGGCTGGAACAACCTGAAACAAATAGATTGAACGCCGTCGAACCATGTCCGGGTTGCAGGCGCTCCTCGTGGCTGCATGAGGGTTGTTTGCACGTCTCGGGGCGACACCAGCAGCCGTTCACTAGCACCGGATGGCCAACCTGAGGCTGAAGCCAAAGTGGACTTGAAGCCGTTCTGCTGCAAACAAAGGGTTACCCCTATGAGATGGTGTTGTGTAGACTTTTGTACATAACAAGTCCAGAAACCGTGAGCTTGCATCCTGGCTCCACCTCAACGGTCTGAGTGAGGCCACCGGTGCAGCACCAAATCCTGCTGATCTGCCGGTATTTCTCGCTTTCTACGGAGGATCCCGTCCGGACCATGTCCCCTTCGAGCAGGTCTCGCATGAACTTGCACGTAGTTTGGCCAGAAGCAGCAAGGACATGGAACTCACAAAAATCCGTAAAGCAAGTGCAAGGAATACGGTTCCAGTCTGGGCTGGATGTACGTCTTGTTACCACCGGCGGTGGCCGTTTGATTCGCACCAGCTGAACCACAGAGCCACGGGCAACTTGCGTGTCACCCAAACGAAGATCAGCAGCAACCTCAGAGCCCTGCACAAAGAACTTCAGGTCCTCTGATTCCCCCTCTTGACGGAGGATGGCGGCGAGCTCGGCCACCGTGCTCGTCTTTGGCATGACACGGTCAAGAACCTTGGTAGCTGCACTTGTGTATGTGCAGGCGGGCAAAGGGCCATGTTCTGCAGCCCAGAAGCCTTTTCGCCAGACATGAGCTGCACACTGACGTTGAGCTTCATGGAATCTCCTCTCAACCCGTTCTGTGTTGGGCTTGGGCAGGTCCAGGTTTCCGGGTCCCGGAGGGACTTGAGGAAGGCTTGCCCGAGTCGCCCGCCAGCTGACTTCAGTTTCTCTGCCAGCCAAGCGCGGTCTCCACCTGGAATGAAGCAGCCGAGGGCAATGGCATCGTCTGCTTCCTTGTGCTGAAACTCCCACTTCAAGGCGTCCTGGAGATGTGTCGACCGTGCCAGGTCACGCAGCTGAGAGCGCAGCAGCTCGTTCAATTGCGACATCGCGACTCGACCAGCATCTTTCGGCGAGCTGCGTATCCGCTCGGACTCTCCAGGCTTGCAGGGCACATGAGGCAGCAAATGACCAAATGTGCGCCGACAATCTTCAGAATACAGCGGGTGCGTCATATGGGCGTGCCATATCCAGTCCAGCTCCACTGCAGGCCCAGTAAGGCTTTCTGGCCCCGCCTCACCCATGATAATCAAAAAGCGCCTGTAATATAAATACAGGAGCTTGAGAAACCTCGATATCAAGTCTGGCTGCTTGGCTGCAGGGTTGTTCACCTTGAAAACGATAGCTCTCGGATCACTGAGAGGTGAAAGGCCAGCTTCTTCAAAGGAAGCAAAAGCAAGGACAAAAGCCGTGGGAACATTAAGTAATGCATCTGCTTCCATTGAGATCTCAGAGTCGTTGACCGCCGTGGGCTTCTTCTCCGTAGCTGCCTTCGCTTCATCCCTTGCCTTCCACGTAGCCGGAGGCAATGGTCCCACGCCGAGGCCAACCCCAGGAAGCCGCTTGCAAAAGCCAGCATAGTCGTCCGTGTGCAGCTGATGGGTGAACCAACAAAGCCAAGCATCCATCGTAGGGCTCGTGGAGGGCCGCATGTAGCCAAGATCTTCAGCTGGGTGTCGGGCTGCCAAGGCTGATTCTTGTCGCATGTACGTCAAGTAGCTGGGCTGGGCCTCGGAGAGGAAGAACGAGAAATCCCACCACGGCATGTGCCGGGCAGCATCCATCCAGCTCTTCAGAAGTCCGACGGCCGAGAAAATGGGTGACACCTGCAAGGGTTGGCAGCATTGCAGCAGCTTCACCACTGCATCCACAGAGTCAGCCTCCGCGTCCTTGAAGGATCGCACAAAACACTCCGAAAAGACGAGGCTTGAGTTGAAGTCCAGAGTCACCAGGCCGTCTTCGGGAAGGGTCTTGAGCTCTTCCACGTCGCGAGGAAAGCCCTCTAAGAGAAACGGGCTGCCCCAAGGTCCGTACATCGCAACCTCCTTCAAGATTTCAGGAGCCACAAACTTGCTGCCTACAGCTTCGCGGATGCGGTCGACGTTGATGTGCTTCAGGCGGGTCCCTAGCCTTGCAACTGCCTGTCGGCATACAGCACCATACAGCTCTGGGTCTCCGCAGGCAAACACCAAGGAAGGCTGCATGTGAAATCTTGCAGATCCTAAGAGAAGCTCAGGGCTCCCTGTGGCATCGATCTGCCGCGTGATCTCCGCTTTGCGGAATGCAGAGATGACCGGCTCGGTGCTCGCCCTGTAGAAGCCGAGCCTTTCCCCAAACTTCTCGTCTCCCTCCCGGCCTCTTTGCTCGGCTCTTCCTTTTAGGACGTCATCAGGAGCCTCGAGAACCAATACCAAGGAAGGTTTCACCAGATCTGAGTGGTTCTGCCAGAACCGAAAGCCGTCCATCATGCGAGGGAAGCCATTTACAAACACTAAGTGGGCAGGTTTCGCAGTAACAGTGCGGACTGCCTCCTCCATCTCTCCACGCAGGGCCTCGACTAGGAGGTCTTCTGCAGGCCGACTTGAAACTTCACGGAGGGTGACACCAAGATCAATGTGTTTGCCTTTGAAATGCTTGGCCAAGTTCTCTCCCAAGGTCGACTTACCGCTTGCAGGAGGCCCCATGAGCAGCACGACTTTGCCTGGGTTCTTTTTAGGGAAACTACCTTTTAAATGCCATAATTGGGATCTATAGTAAATAATATGGTTTCCGTATGATGGCACCGTAAAATAAAAATCCCCTAACAAGAACCCAGTTGCATGGCTCGTAGGCATCCCCGCCAAGCGATGTTAAAGTGCCTGAGTGGGGTGGGGAAACGCACGGCTTGGGCACACCAAATCAATCGGGATTCTCGCAACAGACGGGGCCGAGAACCTCAAGTCCACTTCTGAAGCTTTCGCAAGAAACCGCCTGCCATCTGGTCTCCGTCGCTCATCTCTCGTTTCCGCACTTCCTCAAACCAAGCGAGAGTCCGCACAGTGCCGAACCATTCGTGAACAAATGGTATCCCCTAAGACCCAGTCAAACACAGCCGACATCAACCATGCAGTGCTGACACTACTGCTGTATTGTATTCAATTGCAGCTGCCAGCGCAGTGGTGTTCAACCAGGAAATAGTGTGCCCCACCTTCTGAACATCTGCTGAATGCAGCGCAGGATCGGCTATGGATGCAAGCAGGGCTTTGGCCTGATCCTGTGACACCTAAGCGGGCCAGTCGGCAACAAGAAAGCAGCACCGTTTAAAGTAGAGATATCTATCTATCTATCTATCTACTGTTTATATATATGTATAAACCTCTGATATATCTGTGTGTGTGTGCGCGTGCTTCATATCCGTAGGCTCGCTTCTTTTCAATTCTCTTCGGAAACTTGACCGCCCGCACCTCCAGCTTTCTCAAGAGGTCGAGAGTGAGAGACTGCAGAGCCTTGGCAATATTGGCGCATCCTCTGCCAAGCGTGCGGTGCACCCGCTACAATTGACTCATGGCCGCCTTAGCCCCCGACTTGACCGTCGATCCGCTCCTTCTCAAAGACGGGGATCAGGCTGTCGTGTCCAGATTTCTGAAGCCAGCTCACCACCGTCGCAAGGCTCCAGGATGACAGCGAGGCACTCATGGCGACATGGACTTCAAGCCGACAGCAGGCCCGCTGTGGGAGGGAGCTGTACTGCTTGTGCAGGCCTGAAATGAAACTCTTCGCAAAGGCTCGAGCATCAGTCAAACAACACGGAGTATAGGAAGAACGACGGCGATGCACGATAAGTAGGAGCAGAAGACTCATCAGCATGATCGTCAAGGCATGCAACACTTCCCAGATCTCCCCAAGCTTCTCAACACTTCTCAACATCTAACCTTCGAATTCCAGCCTGGTCTCATGGAGTAGCGATTGTGCAAGCCGACTTGCGCCGCTTCGGCCTGCAAGAGCAATGCCCACAACATCCCCAACAGCTCACGTCCTTCCCCAAATTCGCTAGCATCTGAACCGACCGGAGTACTAGAATGGAGCACTGTCTTTTCTGCAAATTAGCTTGCTTTCAGATCGCATCACTGAGAGCTCTGCGTCTTCCAGCTTGCGAAATTCTACCTAAGGTGGCCAGGGTGCTTTGCTTCTCGGATGCGTGGCAGGCCCGCAAGACAAAGCTGCCACAGGGAAAGCGGCATGAGGACACACGAGTGCAAAACGGCGCAGTATCGCTGCAAACTCCGCACGCAGCCCAAGCCGGGATTCACACGTACGCGCAGCTCTTATACCCCTTTGCTCCACGGCCGCTGATGACATGAACCTGCCGCACTGCAGGACGATGTAAATACGTACTGTGTTGGGGATTTCGAGACGAGTCACATAGAACATCGTCAGGTACTGCCACTTGTCCGAAACTGCTTGGGCTAAACCCTCGCAACGCGATTCCCTTGCCAAGACTTGACTCGTCACGAGCAGAGCGGAGCCCAAAGTGGTGCGCGACCTTGTCCAGCATGCCATAGCGCTCAAAGACCTTGGGAGGCCGTCTGCATCTCTATCATCGGCGTTTCTGCAAGTCAAAACATGTGAAACAGGCCACTTCGCAGTAGTAGAGCAACGAAGAACAAAGTAAAGTAGCCCTGGCGACGTTTGCTGAGCGAGTTGCAGTATTGTTTTGAAACAGCCTTCCCACTCGGTCGCACAGCGGAATCGAACTTTGAATTCCAGCACCTTGGAGCAAGTCGCAGGATCTGAAATCGAAGGATGAAATCTCTCTCTGCTCGATCAGGCGGCTGAAGGTCATCGCATTTCCTGGCACTTGAATTCTCCTCATCTGCAAGAAGAGCGCAGCAGCAGCTCTCCACCTCTTTGCTTTGGTGCATGCGCCGAGAGCCAAATTGTAGCTCATCGTGTCTGGCTCTATATGCTCCGAGTGGAGCCTGGTAAGGAGCAGTATGGCTTGCTGCCAAAGTCCAGACCCCTCGCACATGCTCAGCACAGCATTGCAAGTTATCAGATTCGGTTTCACCTGTCTGCTAACCATGTCGTGAAATAGGAGCAGCCCCAGCTGCCAATTCCTGCACGCACTGATGACCGGGCTAAACGACAAAGCATCGGGTTGCAACTGTAATTGGTCCATGCAGAACAGCAGGCTGACTGAGCCCTGCCACTGCTCTCCATCAGCGCACGCCTTCAACGCTGCGCTGCAGGTGTCCACGCTCACATCACATTTCCGGTCAACAAACTTTCGAAGCAACGCCACGGCGCCACGCCACTGAATGTGACGGCCACACATTGTGACAGCAGCAGTGTGTAGTGCAGCCCAGCCGCGCTCGAAGCACTTCCCCAACAACCCGCGGAAAAGTAAATGAAAAGCGACCTTCCAAGCAAACCCATCACTGAAGGCTGCCATCGCGGTGGTGCTGGTGGCAACATCAATAGGGGCTTCACCCAGGCTCAGCATTCTGAGCGCTGTCTGCCATCTCTGCCCCGAAAGGCAGGCTTTGGCAGCGACGGATCGGGTGATTTCGTCGTGAACAAGGCCGGTGCCATCGGCATCTTGTAACAAAGTTAGCACCAAGTCCCACCTGCACGCACCAAGTGCTGAGGAGCAGGAGGCCCCGTCGAGTTGCAGCATCGACACCCGCAGCCGCTGAAGTAGACCTATGGCATCTTGCCACTGGCTGCTGCTTGCGGCGGCATGTACTGCAACATTGCAGGTGACAATGCTTGGCTGCAGCCTTCCGCTGCACAGGTCGGTCCACAAACCGCTGGCAAGCTGCCACTGGCTGCCAATGTCGCAGGCGCTTAGAACAGAACTCAGCGTAAACACATCTGATTCGAGGCTAACCTTGCGTGAGCCATAAAATGCACATAACGCCCTCTGCCACTGCTGCGTGCGACAGAATGCAGTAATGGCTGCATTGACCACGACAGTGCCGAAACCCAGCTCTTCGGACAACACTTCTTCGAGGAGAGCGGCTGCCTCCACCCACTGTCCACTTTTCCCGTAGGTAGCGAAAGCAGTGGTGCACACGATACCGTTGAACTCCATTCGCATGCCACGCATATCTGACAGGAGTTGAAGTGCCTGCTGCCAGCTGTCGCCTTTCTCTAGTGCGCTAAGCATGGCGCCATATGTGACAACATCAGGTTTCAGTACACCTCCTCGCGTGCATTCTTTGAAAATACTGGCGGCCTGCTGCCACCGCTCGTGTCTGGTACATGCAGTGATTGCAGAGTTCGCAACGATGGTATTTGGCTCGATGCCTCTGCAGGCCAACTCCTTTGCCGAGTCCAACGCGCCATGCCAACATCCGCCTTTGCCGCTCGCACTAACGACCGAACTAATTATCACCACATTCAGCTCCAAACCTCTCGCATGGATTCGATGCAGCACAGCAAGCGCGCGTCGCCATTTGCATCCTTTGTCACATGCGTTTGTGGCCGCTCCGTGCACGCGGATGTCTGGTCGAATGCCTTGCCAATCAAGCTCTGAAAGTCGGTGGAGAGCATCCAGCCAAAGACTGGTCTGCATAGCAGGGCAGCCGTTCTCAGCAGCTGAAATGGATTCGCATCGACTGCTGCAGCCCGAACCTGGCCAACGGAAGACCCCCCATGATCCCCCAAGCTGCGAATGTACGACAGCAGAACCAATGGGCGCAGCCCGCGGCAACAGAAAGCACGACCCCTGTCGTCGTCGGCAGGTACCAGCCGACTTCAGCCAAATTGACAAGTTCACACGTATGATGCTAACGGATGCCATGACTCTGAGCTGGCCACGTTCGAAACTGCAGGCACGTCGACATCGGCGGGCAAGTTGTAAGCAATGAGTGGGCCTGCCGATGAGATACGTGCATCTGTTCAGATCTCTGACAGCTCCGCAAGAGTCCAACATGCCCCCGATTCAAATAATTGCTCAGTCAGCCTGAGCCTCTGCCAGACGTGCTTAGACTGAAGCTGCTACGACGACCGCACTACAGCTGCCGGGAACGAACTGTGTATGTAGTAGCAGCAGTTTCCATCATGAGGATAAGATTTGTCGATGCGAATGAGAACGCAGCATGCTGCTGGACCTTTTTCCGTCTGGTCTCTGGATGAGGCCTCGTGGTCTGCTGATGGGATCCCAGCCGGGTCTGCCTGCACCAGGGAAACAACTCGTGATGGCAGTACAGTCGGTTCCGTCACTTTACTCAGGAATGATGTTCGGACTGGCATGTTTAGCTCCGGTAAAGACCTTCACGCTTGCAAACATGACGCCTTCATCCTAGTTTTAGTGCAATGAGCACAGTCGGTGGAGCCTCTCGCGTCGGCGGGTCGCCAACCTCGGAAGCAAACTCCGGTGCGACGCAGGCCTGTGGCACTCGGCACTACATCGCGAAGATCAGGAAGCAACTCAACTGTCAAACTCGCCACACCCATCCGTACTCGAAGCTTGCGTGTCTCAAACAACTTATTGGTTCCCAAACCCCGGAACCGAAGCTGACCTGGGCTCCTGGCCGCCTGCCCAGGCACTTCCTGTGATGTAGTCGTGCGGGGCCTTCTCTCGCACCAGAAATAGTGAGACATACGGAACACACAGCACGATGTTTGTAATACTTTCAATCATCCCAAGCGGGAGTGTTGGTGATCCTTCGGACACCGAGATGTGTAACTTGTCCCTGCCAAATCAGCACGAAGCTGCTTTAGGCAGGATGCTGGTCAGCACTCGAGTCACTCGAGGCAGCACTAACACCAATCGAATTAAACTTCTTACCCTTTCCCCCGGCCTCCGTCAAAGCTGCTTTCCCGGGGGCTGGTTCCTTGTCCTTTCCTTTGCCTGCCGTGCAAGTCTTCGATTCAGCTGTGACATGAGGCGTCCAAAACCAAGCACGGAGTTTCACTTGCACAGGAAGACTCTAGGTGTCTCCATGGTGCGTGCCATCATTCACCCTGCGAGCCCGTTTTTGCTTTGTGGCCTTTGTCACCTTTGCGAGTATTCGCCCACTCCACCTGCCAGCGACCATCGTTCTAAGGCATGCCGTCCAAAGCATGGAAATCCCCACACATCGCAGCTTTTTGCTTATCCGCAACCTTTGCATTCACGAAATGATCGCAGCAAGCATCCATCTTACTGGGGCCCCTGCTCTAAAGGTGTGTGGCTCGATGCCACCTACCCCTACTCGCACTCGAATTAGCATCCGTATTGAAGAAGCGGCTGAAGAAACATCTACATACAAGGGGAACAGCACAAGTCGTCACACCTACACAAATACGGAGAACTGAGAACACAGCACTGGAAGGCCTCGCTGCACTGACTGAGGTTCTTGGCTCTTGAATGTCTACGGCGCCTATGTAGCAAGGCCTGCCAGTGCTTTCACTTGAGCTGCATCCTTAACTGCTCCTGGCCTCTGACGTTCGTCACTTCGGCAGGAACCCTGTATCGTCTGGTGAAACCAATGTGAAACACGCCCGGTGCAAGTTGCTTTCTGCAGACGGCTGCCACAAGGCAAACCAGGACTGCAGCTCCCAAAAGAAAGCCAGGGTCGGCTTGAGGGCTGCAGGTACTAGTATTCACCGTCGACGAACCTCGATCATTGACAAACAAAGGGAAACACAGCTGCGCCAAAAACGAAAGGTTCACAATGCATCCGATATAAAAAAGACTTGAGGAAGATCAATCTGGGGCTGCGGGGTGTGCTCCGAGGAGTACCATCGATCGAAGTCGAAGCCTGTTGATGCAACAAGGCAGCCCGATGGGTCCATATTCGACCTGTTTGTCAAGTGCAGGGCCGCCCCCGCTCACCTGAGATCGTACTCGCTTCGCATGAACGGATGTCCCCAAACTGCAGCCAATCGAAGCATGCAAACACTTGTGTCAAGATGCCCAGGCCAAGTTTATGAGGACCCTGTCTTTTTCGAGTCCAGTGCCAACCTGAGTCAGTCAGAGCATTTCTGTCCTCATGAAATGCAGAGAAAGCGGGGCCTACCTGACACTGGGTATGACAAGGAGCCACTTGGTATCTGAGACCAGGCCCGTTGACCAAGGTATCATGGGAGATCTGGAAGACTTCCTGTCAGATCAGTCTGGCTGCTTCAGACGTGTTGACATTTTCTGAAGCACGTAAACTTCCATCGGCAGGTTGCGACATACAAAGAGTCAATGAGGAGACACACTACTGCACAGCCTTTTTCAGGGGTTCATGATGTCAATCTCAAATGTGCATGCTGCGTATGCCTTGACCTGCGTGTGACAAGCAACATGTAGGCGGACCTGCGTCAAGCACTCGTTTTTGAAGATCGCCTTGGCAGCAAACGGTGGCCAACTTGGGGCCAAAAGGTTCAACCGTTCAAGTCGTTCAATCGGCAGATTGGGCACATCTGCGTCCCGTACGATACTGTGTGGCCCGGTCCACGAGCAAAACTGTCGGTCATAGGCATAGGTGTGTAAGTTCAGACTCCCCTCCTACTTACGATGATAAGGGAGTTGCCGAAGAATTGGTCACGGTAGTGTTTTGACTCCCTTGCAGTGGTCCCGGTGCGACAAAGGAACGCTCATCTTGCAAGTGACCACCAAGTCCACTCGATGCAATGCGATCTCCAGGCCCATATCAAATTCCATCTGCAAGCGGGGTTGCGGTGGCACTCCGGAGAATCTCTGGCAAGCATGTTGCAAACATGCCGCACGTGGATATTGTTGCACACGTTGCTTCAATTCCGCAACAGAACGCATGCACTGGTCACTAGTCTAACCGAAGACCTTTGTTCAGTATGGGGAGCTTGGAATCGCCTCAGGCCCACTGCCCCAGCGCCAGCTTTAGTGGGCTCATGCTATTCTTGATGCTCTCTTTTCCATTCCGTCGTGATCGGGGGAACCCGAAGCCCCTTCAGCGCCTTGTTTCCAGAACCCGTCAGATGCACCGGCGCAGAGGGCGCGGGTGCTGCAGATGCAAGGACTCGAACGGAAAAGATACCTCGAGCATGCCAGGTTTTTGTGGAGACTGCTACTGTTACTGCTGCCACTCCTCCTCCGAATCCCCTACTCCTACCACTCCTACCGCTTCTACTTGCTGCTGCTACAACAGTTACAATGACGACAACAACTACTACAACTACTATCACAATCAATGTTGATGCCGCTTCTACTCCTCCTCCTTCTTCTGCTGCTTCGGGGATTATTTCTTTACTCTGTCTTACTCCTGCTCCTCTTTGCTACTCCGCATTGACAACAATAACTTCGACGACGACAATGGTGTCTACGTCCACCGCCGCTGCTCCCGCTTGCTAGGAGATACTTAACGATGGGAGACCTGGATATGAAACTGCAGCAGACCGGTAACCTGCAGCCAGCCACGGCGAACTACATGCAGATCCTATACGACACAGTCAGCCAACTGCCGAGCTGCCGGAGAAGGATGTCGCACTGCACAGGAACCCAAAGTACTTGCCTGTTCATGCTTGTGATCACCCATGACCGGACGGTGTCAAGGAGGTTACAATTGCAACTGCTACCGTGCGCGTGCACTGAAAAGGCAAGGCTAAGACGAACTGTTGAACAAGCTGAAGCCCTCCAAAGCTTATCATGACATCCAGGCAAAGTCTACTGCACACCGTGAAGAGGCTTGGTGCCATGTTTGAGTCGAGGTGAAGTGGTGGGAAATGACCAACATTGGCAGCACAATGCCCAATGTGATTTAGGTCCTTCGCCGTAGGAGAGGCCGACGAAAACCTCGTGCTGTGGGTTCCACAACAGCGACGAAGGCTCCTGGGTGTTGCTTCATCAACTCAACTCGCACTTTAGCATCGTATGGGCAGCTGCGATGGGCAAGCTCACTGGCTTCAAACGCCAAGGGGCAGAAAGTGCTACACGAAGTCGACTTATGCCAGAGTGTCGTAGGACGTCTGCCTGCACATCCAAACTCGGAGTGCGATCAACCTGCCCACTCTTTGCCTTTCTACACAATGGGTCCGAACTAGCATGGCAGGCGCGGTCCCGGAGGCATGTCGGCCCAACTGCTTGAATCATGGGAGTGCAGTACATCTCTAGGTTTTGAGACATTGAGAAGCAAATTCTGGTCCGGACTATCCCCTGCACAACCCTTAACCTCTTCCCCTAACTTTGAGGTGTATCTTGACACGTGACTGTGGTCTCCCATCGCTCCCCCCCCAGCCTGCAGCAATCGCTCTCCGGCACCGAGGTCGAAGGAGCAGCCTTGGGCGAGCACCTTCCGGCAATGCGGCAAGGTCGAGCAACGGTTGATTACATACAAACATCTGGAGAAAGAAACCCATTGAAGCACACACACACACACAAACAACTGATAAAGCCCTTGCAATGTACGAATGATCGCTGTCAAGCTCAAGTCAGCAGCTAAAGCCGTCGAATGCCTGGACATCTGCCACCGTTCTTGTTTCATGAACAGCTGTAAAAGCGAAACTGCAATCCCTGTTAGAACGCCGAGTACCATGCAGATTCTTTGCAATGTCCCAGCAAACAGTGCATCTTCCAGTTGTCACCCTTGTCATTCTACCGACCTGACGCCAGACGCCTCAGACTTGCGGCTGCGTGAATTCGCAGTGCGAGTTCAGTTTTGAATGCCACCGAAAGAAAGACTTGAAGACTTTCGGCAAAGGTCGGGTCATCAATGATTTGTGCCAGTGTGCGGTCGAAGAGATTAACCAGGGCCAGGGCAAAGCTTTCATGAGCTCGAAACACACAGCCATGGTGGGCTGATAAAATCAACTGCTCTCGACTTGAAATGACAAGGAAGGAGTTGCCAGAATGCG